AAAGGATAGTATTTCAAATAATCTTGGTCGTGTAATAACGAATTCTGATTGTTTCCCAAATAACCTATCATAAAACAACTAAAGCTACAAATGTAAACTAGTAGACTGACCAATATGACATGATTGAATGCGACTCAGTCAGTCAAAGTGAAACCTATGTCTGAAGGTTCTTACTGATTACTTATAACTACGGTTTATTTTCACTTATTCAGCATGTGCTTCGAATAATGAATCTGATACTTTGACATAACTTCGATCATCGTATTAATTTATATATGACATGCAAACAATTAAAAGTATCATTCAAGATACATTTTACATTGAAAACAATTTTCCTTTAACGAAATCGTTAACATTATCAACTAGTACGTTAAGTATTTAATATGTATGTAAGTGTTAATATTGTATTTATCAATGTAACTGAATACCTATTTTCTTTGTCACTAATTTCACCATTAAGTATATTATTAAATAAAATTAGTAGAATATAGAACTTTTCAGTTTTTTGTTCCATAAACTTAGCACACTACTTAAAAATACATAGAAACAATTAGGGAAATTTCTTTTCATGTTTTGTTAATCTATGAAGTAATTTTTAATAGGTAATAAAAGATCATTTCCTGTGCGATTTTTAGTTTTTTTCTTTAGCCATGTAATATATTACTAATAAATAAGTATTGAATCAGTACTGATATATTTCCGGTAAATCATACTACTTCATCAATAGTATGATATTTAAATCGCTAAAAATAATTTGATTGTAAGTTAAAAACAAAGTCAATTGCTTCCTTTGAACCAGTTTATTCACAATAGATATTATTAAATATACGAGTATAACCATACAAATATATATATATATATATATATATATATATATATATATATATATATATATATATATATATATATATATATATATATATATATTCAAATGTGGAATTGCGTGCCAGGTTAATCATTCAGAACATTACTATATGTAGGACTAAATGAGAATGGAAACAAACAAATGAATAAATAAATTATACTTGGTAAATAATCAGTGATAATTTTTTCTATAAATAAAAGATATACAGATAATACATTCATTATGAAGATGATAGGAACGATAATGAAACCATTTTGATTTTTCATTCACATTAGTTTATTATTTCTACCATTTCAAAAAAAAAATCTAACGATTAAAAAGTAATAGAAGTATTGGTTAATTCAATAATTAGTATAGACATATAACTGGTTGCTGGGTTGATCGATAGGAATTAATATTTAAAATGATCGATAATGTTTAGGTTCCAATTTAGGATAGTAAAATAAATCTGTGAAAGAACAGTGTAAACTTGAGTATGTTTATGGTAATAGAAATAGTTACTAGAAATATCCATTAAATTATAAATAATATTTTTGTAAAATCAGAGATACATTTAATATGGAATGATAATCAATTAGTTTTCTCTTAAATAGTTAATGCTTTAAAATACTGTAAATTATACCACGTTTAAAGTAAGTTCACTGTTTTAGTTAAATAAGAAGGAGATTATGTAATCACTTATAATTTTATGTTATGTAATTGTGGAAGGACAGGTAGATCTTGACAACAAATGTCATACAACTGAATTTATGTTTGGAGATTGCTTCGTGATGTAGTTTATTGATTTCCTCAATATGTGTCCTACTCACTTCCAATGTCTTTCCTAATTAACTCTTCAGATGGAAGCTACTTTGTTCTTTCCCATAGTAGGTTGTTGCTGATGGTATCCGACCAATGGAGACTGAGTATCTTGTGTAGACAATTGTTTATAAATACATGTACGCTTTTGATGATGGTAGTAGTACTTCTCCAAGTTTCAGTTGTGTACAGTAGAACCGTCATGAGGTTCGTATTGAAGATTGAGACTTTGATGTTGGTTGACAGTTGTTTTGAGTTCCATATGTTGTTGAGGTGTAGGAATGCTATCCTTTTACTTGCATCTGCATCAAATCCTCCTCGTTCATCGATGATGCTGTTCAGGTGTGTGGAAGTTTCAACCACTTCCAGAGCTTTTGGATGAAGTGTGATTGAGATGGTGTTCGTTGTGCTGCATTTGAGGATCATAATTTTTCCGTTGGGTATGTTGAGGCCTACTGATGCAGATTTCGCTACTACACTGGTTGTTTTCATCTGCATTTGTTGGTGTGTATGGGATAGAAGAACTAGATGATCTGTGAAGTCCAAATCGTGTAGTTGCATGCAGGCTGTTCATTGTATTCCATGCTTCCCTTTAGGTGTGAAGGTGTTCATAATCCAGCCGACCACTAGAAGAAAGGGGGAGGGTGAGAGTTATCAGCCATATCTTACATCGGTCCCCACGTGGAATGTACCTGAGAGCTGTCCTCCATTCACAACTTTGCATTGTAGTCCATCTTAATAATTCTGTATGATGCCGACGAATTTCTCAGGCACACAATAATGTTGAAGAATGTCCTATGAGTTTCTCCTATCCACACTGTCAAACGCTTTCTCATAGTTAAGGAAGTTGATTTTGGACAGTTATTATTTATTCAGTAAACTGTTCACTAATTAGTGCCAGGGACTATTCAGTTCATTGTATACATATCTGACCATCAATCAATGTAAGCCATTCAGAATGACGGGATTCAAATATTTGAATTTATTTTAGATGTCAAATACATCCTAGTCTGTTGTTCTCATGTTCTTACTTAATTCTTCCGATTTACCATTTACTGTGACAAATTTCAAGCCATTTAATTATTCCAGCGGACATATGATAAAAAGATTATTAAGGTATGTCTATAAACATCTACCTATAACTATAGCAGTCTAAATACATTGAATGTTGACAAGTTAGGTTTTTAGAAACAGCCATTAGTTTATAACATTTTACCTATTTCTTTCTCAACTATTAACATGAATGTTTCATTAAACAATCATAATGTAGGGTAAATACATTAATTCTGATTAAAGTGTCTCACATTAAAATAAATGTTTGCATTATTTCAATTACGACATTTAAATAATATATTTTTTAAAGTTTTGAAAACTAGTTTCCTTTTTTTTTTAGAATACCTAACTATTTCTTTTAGTTGCCTTATCAACCTAATTCCTCAGCTTAGGAGATACCGACTCCAATGACTACTTAATTGTTTTTATTACAGTGTCTACTAACTGTAATATACGGAAGTATAATCCAGAAACGTATTGATTTGTTGGGTCTGATAAGAAGAGATAAGAGGTAAATAATGAAAGTTTTTTTAATTTTAGTTCTAATTTTTAGTGAATGGCGCCAACTTATATAGGTGCTTAAAACATCATGCTGATTACAGGTATTAATTTAAAATTAATAGATTATCTAGTAATTTTTTCTGTGATATTAAAACCCTTTCACCTTGTTTATCAATTTTTTTGGTTTTACTGATTGTTCTCTGAAGTTATTTCATTGAAGTATTAACTTATAAGGAGAGCTATTAAGAAAAGTTTAGAGAACTTTAGATCCAAACGGTTGTATGAATTACCGATATATTTCAATGTATGCACAAAAATAATATCTATCCATATTGAACAGGATATCCTCACTAATCCAACTTTGATAGAAGATAAAAGGATTAAAAGATCTGACGCGAACTTGAGAGATATCACTGGTTAGTCAGACAGAACTTTGAAACAGGATACGACAGCTTCTTTTCCTACTTAACTCTAAATATTACAAAATACAAATATTCCAAAAAAATAATTTATTGATAAAAATCTTAAAAGATGGAATTTTCACTTAAGTTTATTTAGTTACGTACTGTTTATAATCAATAGTTAATAGTGACAGAGATTATGAAACTTAGCGATTGTCAGCTGAACGCAAAATCACAAACAATAAACTACAACTGAATATTGTACTAAATAAACATCAAGTGAATGAAAACTAACAGTGAAGTACAAATTGATGTAATACTGAGAAGCACTTATACAAAGTTACATGAACGGAAATGAAACTGAAGCAAGTCGAAAATCAGTTAGTCATCTACAGTGTAGGACTAGGCACATATATGTACCGGTCCAAATCGCCACACTTCATTAGCACAACATAAAAAAAACGCTAAATTCATAAAAGTAGTCACTTCAATGGTAGTAATGTATAAAAAAATGATTGTGTATAAGGATACAGTACAGGAAGAAAGAATTAGTTCGTAGAAAGAAATATATGAAACTGAATAAAAGTCACAGTTAAAATAAGCACAAAATCTTATGTTTCTATTCCGTCCAAACACAATCTTCACAAATTTTCTATCTCATTAAAAAAATGTATTCAACTTATTGTTTTCCTGAAGAGTTATAGTTAACAAATCAAAATTGGAAATGTTGTGTTCTGTGAAAATTTCTAGTTTAATTGTGAAGCTTTTGTTGTACTTCAATTAGAATCAGCTTGAAAATTTGAAATGAATGATTGGTATTATATCCTACTTATGTCTGTCGACATAAGTAACATACACCGCAGTATTAGTAGTACTGAGGTGCGTGCTACTGATGTCGACAGACATAAGTAGTATATAACACCAATCAAAAGTGAAATGCCCATTGGTATAGGGATGAGAAGATCGGAAAGAAGAGACCGAGGACAGATAATGATTGGTGTGGAAACGAAGGAACAATGAAGTCTAAGACAATTGATGAACATTTTATAAATGAAGTATATACTGTTTGATTCTCAGATTTCACTAGGAGATTCTGTTTTCAACTACATTTGGTTACTCCCGCCCGTGTTCTTGTGTTAGGTATGCAGAGGAATGTACCAATAATTATCGTGTTAAGTCAAATGGTGTCCTTGGACGTTAAATGGACATTTCCTATTGGCTATTATTTAATTCATTCGTTACATATTGTGTAAATGTTGTTTTTCTATTTTTATGGTACGATGTGGTTTGTTTGTTTAGTATATAAATAGAGTATGTCTGAAATACAATGATTCATAACTCAGAGGCTGTGAATTGTGTTCCTGACTCAACTGGCTGGGACAGACAGGGAAGCAGGGCCAATCAGGGCACTAGGTCGTCCATACGTGTTTTCTGTGTTACTGTGATCGATCGATATAAACGCTGCTTATCAAGACCTGCAGTCATCCGTTACAACATCCTGTTCACTACAGTACTACATGCTTCTACATAAAAAGTATGACTGAATCATCTTATGAATAGTTAGAGCCTTGGTTGTTCTAAGTTAAGAATAAAGAACGTCCTAAAAATTAAATGGAATTCTACATACAAATCGATACATAGATAAGCTGAATTTTTAAAACCATATGGATGTACAGGATGTGATGAGGTATGTTCTCAAATGCCTTTTGAAAGTGACCTCTAATTACCATCAATATGCCAGATGAAGTGATAAATTCAATTGATTGGAAATACTTATCACTGTATAGTGAGGGCTTTAAAATGGATCCGATCGTTTTTAAACCGCAGATTCCGTGAATGATACTTCTGATACACAACCTGATGACATTTCTGATGTCGTTAATTTATGATTTTATGGACCGAAGAGTTATTTCAGCAATAGCATTCCTAGAGCTACTCAGTTCTTTAATATCTCAATCTATGTTGTGTTTGTATTCACCAAGAGAATTTAATATGTCTATGGAGTTTTTCTGTCATTCAGTGAATAATTGTGCATAATATCACTTTATTATCGTTGCTTATAAGTGTTTATGCTTTTACCATCCATATATAATATTTCTATTATGATAGTTGTTTAGGCAAACAGTTGCATTGTTTTTTTTCCTGAGTTTATTTCTTTAAATAATATTAATTTGATTGGCTAAAATTCCTCCACGTAATTTGATTAGCTAGTTATTTCTATAAAATGTAAGTTAGGGAAGTCGATATGATTTCAATAAGAAGTTTCTTACTTTTGAAATAGATACTTTCATACATTATGTTATTTGCAATATTTGCCGTTTATTAAGAAAAAAACTCTTGAGCAGCCACTAATCAAAAGAATCTGAGGATAAAGAAAACAAGGAAGGCTAAAAATAAACAAAGATGCATATGGAAACAGTGAATTATGGTGAAGCGGCCCATTGGAATGATAATGAGTATATACAGTCACCATCAGTAACTAATTTAAGAATGAATAGATTTCGACGTATCACTTCAATGACATGTTTATTCAATATAATTTTAACAATAGCTTTCGTTTTGATGACTGTGATTGTTATCATATTTGCTTTATCATACTTCGGGATATGGTTTAATAAATCGCAACCAAATGTTGTAAATATTTTCTGTGGACAAATTAAAGGTGTTCAAAAGGATGATTATACAATAAGTTATTTAGGAATACCATACGCTTTACCACCAATTAATGAGAATCGTTTCAAACCTCCCATTCATTTATCTTCAAAGAAATTATGTCATAAAGCCTGGGAACTAAGTAACACTACAGTGATGAACTCGATTTATTACACACAAAACTACAAACCTTCATGTTTACAATTACTACCGAAATCCTCAGGGAATGCATTTGATGGTAGTGAAAATTGTCTTTACCTAAATATACATGTGCCAGTTAATAAAAAGACAATAAATCAAGCAAAACCAGTAATTATTATAATAGATGGATTATTTTTTATGTACAGTAATGAACCAAAACAGCCTAGCTCAGATACTATATATAAAACGGATGCCATACATGTAACATTTAATTATCGAATTGGTCCATTTGGATTTTTACCTCATCCATATGAAAAAATACCAAATCTTGGATTACATGATCAATTATTAGTTTTACAATGGATTCGTAATAATATTGCACAATTTGGTGGTGATCCATTCAATGTCATTTTATTTGGTTATGGTTCTGGTGCAACATGTGCATTAACATTATTTTATAGTTCAATAAGTAATCAATTATTTGATAAATTATGGATTACTGCTCCTGGATTAAGTTTATTAAATGTATCTGTTAATGATGTCATTGAAACAATTCATTATGCATTAAATTGTCATGATGATATAAATCCTAATAATTGTTCTAATTATAAATTAAATAATTCAATAAATATATTAAATATATGGAATTGGACTATAATTGAACAATGGTTAATGAATTCAATATTTAGTTTACCATCTATTCATGAATTCAATAATATTAATACAAATAGATTGATTAATATTTTAATTAATGATAATCAATTTGTAAATATTGATTTATGGAATAAAATTCTTATACCAAATAGTATTAAACCAATGGTGATTGGACAAACCTCACATGAAGTATCCATTTATCCTACACCTAAAACAATACCATTTTGGAATAAAAATATTTATCAAAATTATATAATTGAAAAATTAAATATAAAAAATATTACATCATATAATCAATATATTGATTATTTTTTATCAAATCATTTTAATCATATAAATTGTAAATATATGAATAATATAATAGAGAATAAGACAATTGATAAAGATCATGATTGGTTATCTAATTTAATGTTATTAATTACTGATAGTCGATTAACCTGTCCATTAACTGAATTAGTAAATACATTTATAAATCAATATTATCCAATATATCAATATTATTTAACTGGAAATCATAGATGTTTTGATCCATATTCATTAAATGGTTATGTATCATATGCATTTCATGGTTGGGATGCAATGTTATATTAAGAACTTATGAAATACATAATGATTTTATAGATCCAAGTTTATTACAATTAAATGATTTATATCATAATGAAAAAGAATTAAATCAATTAAGAAATATTAGTGATTTACTTAATATAGCAATGTATCAATTTGCAAGAACTGGTTATATATCTAATTGGTATGAATCAAAAAAGGGCAATATAATGTGAATTTAATTGAAAATGATCAATTATGTAAATATGTAAATATAATGAAAGAACGTTGTAGTTATTGGAAATTATTATTTAATAATAATTTATTTCAATCAACATGGAAATTTTAATTTATTGATTTTTTTTCTTCTTTTTATATTATACTGTATAATTGAGACAATTTTTATAATCTGCTGTTATGATATCAAGAGAAAATCTTCAATAAAAGATCATTGAAGAAATGTAATCCAGTACAAAAAAATTTAATTGGAGAGGAAAACGATGTATCTTATTTTTTTTAAACAAACAAATATGATCTAAATCAATATTATCGTCACAAACGACAAACATGTCGTCCATGTATGTGACATATAAGTGAAATCGATTGATCATTGAATAAAGTTAGTCACAAAACTAGAAAACGACCAACTCACTACAATGATCAATCGATTTCACTTATACGTAAGATACATGGACGACATGTTTGTCGTTTGTGTCGATAATATTGATTTAGATGATATTTTACACACCTTTAACTTATGCCACCTTTCCATAAACAAATATGATTTTAAAATTTAAACAAAAAACAAAACTATCTTTTTAATTACATCAGTAACCTATTGACACTTCTCTTTATGTTTATTTTATTGAAGGTAATATAATATAATAATATATTGGATTGTAATAACTTGTACCAATTTAACTTGTATAGTTTTTAAAAGAAGTAAATGATTACAGAATTATCATTTAATTTAATTGTTTTGTTTCAAGAGTTTACAGTATGTAAATAAATAGAGAAGCTATGGTTTCTATTTTTTTTGTTTTTTAATAATAGTGAATAGTTTTAGATAAAAGTATGGAATTTATTGAATAGGAAATTATTCATGTTTTGGGTTAGTGAAACAATGAAGTTATTAATAGAATATTATTGATCCATATCAATGAGTAAATTGATTAAGTTAATAGTTGTAGAAATATGTAATGAACTTCTACAAAATGGTAATTTCCAAAAAGAAATTTAGTTGTTGTTATGAAAAAAACGAATAGATGAACCTGAAAGCACTGGACGGCCGTTTCGTTCTAGTATGGGACTCCTCAGCAGTGCGCACCCACAGCCTTGCCCCCTGCGAGATTCGAACCCACGCCTACTGGGTGCCGACTCAGTGGTCTAGTGGTTAAGTGCTCGTGCGTGAAGCCAGTAGGTCTTGGGTTCGAATCTCGGGGGGCGAGGTCGTGGATGTGCACTGCTGAGGAGTCCCATACTAGGACGAAACGGTCGTCCAGTGCTTCCAGGTTTTCCATGGTGGACTAGCTTCAATGGACTCATGATTTCAACCAGTGAAATTTCTAAAAATCCCCACGAAACCCCTTCTGAGAATGGATGAACATTGGTTGCTTCGTTTAAGATTTTTTTGTTTGATGTTTGAATGCTTATTTACCGACAAACAAATAATTCATGATCTTATTATATTTTGAATAGATGTCTTATTTAGAATTAATAACTTTGATGTATACACTTATTTTGCCGGTTGGATAAGTACTGTTTTTTATTAGTTATACTTTAGTCTGTTAAGATTTTGAGTACGATTACTTGAACGGAGTATCGATTTATTTATTTTGGTCATTTCATTATATTGTCATGTTGATCTAATAGTTATGAAGGTTTTAATTATAAATTGGATGTTGATTTACAGTTAATTAAGTAATAAAAAAAAACATAACGATTATCCATAGGAATCTGTAATATCATTGAACAAAGTATTAACATGAATAGTAAACTTAAGAAACATACACGTAAAAAATTGCGTCTAATATATATTAAGTAATGTTTATTGCAAAAGAAACAATAAAAAATATATGTAGCTCTATGATATATTGGGTTGAACATACTAGTAACAGTGTTTACAATCATTAATTTCTGAAAAAATGAAATATCATTAAAACATGAAAGTTTTACAATCAGTCGTTAGAGAACCAAATAGTTGTACAACGTATCATGGCGTAATAAGCGGTTCTTTGAAAACAAATTAAAAGGTTTGTAAAATATTCTGTAAACAGTTAGATAAGATTTTTGCCTACCTCATTCTGATAAAGATGGATACAAGACTTAAAAAAGGAGAGTGCGAAAATATTAGTAGTTTCCGGTTATTGATTAAAATCCACTCAAATGAAGCTCATAAGTGACACACTTATTTTGTAATATGTTCAAAGATAATCTGATATTACATTTCAATCTTATAAACGTCGAGGTTTCTTTGAAACAATTTAAGAAACATGTAATGATATTACTTAAAAGATATTACTAAAGTACAGATTAAAGTATCCGAATAAACGTTTGCAAAAAAATTACAGATGTCAATTTACAAGACTTATAACTCTTCCATCATACTTACATATGTATACATGCATTAGTTAATGTAACAATCACGATAAACTGTATTTTAAATATTTGTCTATTTTTCAATGTAACGAACTGTTTTACTTCATTCGATTGCAGAATAATAAATAAGAACATTTGTCAAATTCTTTCGTTGAGCTTTTACCAATACATTCTTCCTCTTTAATGTCTCGCATTAACTCGGTGCCCAAAAACAGTGAAACTATTCGATCAAATTTAGACGAAAGTTCTTATTTATTATTCTGTTATCGCATTAAATTATCGAAGAAAATGTACAATTGTTTCACTTCAGCTTGTATTTTAATAGATGATTGTTAAGTAAATTTCGTTAAAGTTGAATAAATTCAACAATGAACAATAGAACCATTGGTACTTGATGTTTAATCAATTTAAACAAACAAATCGATTTACATGTCCTAATAATCGTTCAGTAAGACAGTATAATAAATGATTCCATTTGTAACATCATCAATACTTTTCCTTTTTTTCGATTAAAGTACACTTAGAAAATAGTCTCCTGAAATAGTCTACTAGGGATTCAAATAATCGTATGGTCAAATATTTTCATACTTTATTGATTTAAACAATATAGATATTACTAGACAGAACTTTGATTTATAGTTTATTTAAATATTTTATTAAAATTAATTTAAACTTCCTAAACATTTGCCGTTGAAACTTATCAAACTAACTATCTTATTCCATATTAAAATTCATGTTATTGTTAACAATCAAAGGTATATAGTAGACAAATTGAAGTGTGTTAAGGTATCATATGAGTGAATCATTTTATTAATATGTTATGTAACAAATTGATCAAGGTAACAAAAACAATCGTTACATATGAATGATTATGTTCCAAAAATAGAAGTATCTACTTTGACTACCGTTGTTTTATCACCAAATATACTTTCAAATTTTATGTGTAAAACATTTTCACTGATGATTTTTTTTCATTTCGAAAAACACCAAACAACACTGAAGAAAGCTAAGTGAACATTAAAGATTTGAGTTGTTTCGTTGTTTTTTTTTCAGAAGCATAAACTATTCACCTTATTAATATTCATCCGTTTTACATTGAGATGTATTGTTAATTAGTGTTTTACTTCGGACAATTGTTGGTTAAACTCACTGAACGAGGTGTTTGGTAAAGTTTGTCGTTTGGTGAAGTACTCTAATTTTGAAGATATTGAAGAGTATTATACTCGTGAAAATTTGAGACAGATGTGTAATTTCGTATTACATCTTGACTTATTCGATGGAGCTGATTTCTCTGAGGTATATGGTATGGCTGAAAAGTAGATGTTGATGAAGGTGACCTAAATGAAAGCGAATTTTTCACTAAATCATTCTTGTCAGAGAATATGACACAACCAAAAATAATATATTTGCATACATTTTCTCTATCACAGATTGTACACGACTAATTATTTTCTGAATGTGTATTATTTTACAACAATGGTTAACAAATCAATATAGGAGTATTCTTAAGTTAATAAATTTTCGCAACAAGACATCAACGCACACTGGATTTCCCTTACATATGCATATACTGGTTTCGGGGTTGTTAAGTTACACCACATTTGTTTTAATTTGCGGGAACAATGTAATAATATACGTTCAATTTTAAGCAGAATATGGCAGACTATTATGTTTTATAAACAAGTATTATAACAAAACACTTTACTAGTAGTATATTCATTGAGTCAGTAATGTAAGTAAAACACAATGAACGGTGACATTTTTTAAAAATTTGTTGGTCGCGGTAAATATTGAACATCTTAACTCTATAACATGTCCCCGTATTTACAAAGATTTTATAATCATCAAATAACATCCTTGATATATTTATGTACATATGCCTAAGGATAATGTATAATAACGTTATTTAGTATATAATAATGGAGTTTTCATTATGAGAGGATTTAAGTCAGATAGGGCAATAGATATTGCCTAGTCTTAGAATTCAAGTATAAGCAATGTGTTTTCATAAGATCGTTATTCATGTGAACTGAATAAGAAGGAGAAAAAGTTATCATATGATTTCTTAATTAGTTACTGTCGCTGTAATGAAAAAAATTTCATAAAGCTGTTATACTTGTCTTATTATAGTTGATATACCGTATTGTAAAATGTGTTGATTAATGGCTGTATAACTGATTTTGACAGAAATTAATAGAAACCTTTATTTTATCGAGCACAACGAAAACCCATTATCAACAATACTATCATAGATTTCAATCAATTGGTAAATATTTCATACTTTGATAGCTTTCAATACAGTGTGAGATCAAGTGAAAAACTCTTCAAAACCAGACGGACTTGAGAAGCTATTTTCTCACAGCTAGATGTCTGTTTCCGAAACAGTCACACGTAACATGATTTCTACCATAGAATGGACAGATTATGGCTAGAAATAGAATCTAGGACACAGGTCTCTTGTGTTTTGGACTTGTTAGATCGATGTTTCTGCATCCAAGTGTTGACATTAACATCAGGACTCCAACCCAAAGCCTTACACCTCAAACGGAAATAGTTAATCCTTTGAACTACTGAGTTCAGAACTTCAATAGCGTGCTCAATGGGTATATTATTTGTGACATTACTAATAAGCGTTTGAACTATCTCATCATTCTTAAAGTTTGATCAACTTTTTACGACACATGCGCAAAAAATAGAACGTTTGTCCTGAATCCTACTTCTAGTCATAGTTAATCTTTTTTGTAAACATTTTGACGTCTACTATATATTGAACTTGGGATAACCTGTTATAACTTTAAATAGAGAGCAATATTAGCTGTGGTATAACTGACACTTGATACAGGTCGATGCAAGGAAGAGAATAAACACAGTTTAGAGGTTTTTTATTCATCTAGAACAAAAAACATCTTCCATATTAACAATTATTGACTACTTAATTATTGGTTAACAAAATCCATACTCACTTAATATATAATAAACAGCTATCAAAACGAGGTGTTATATTGAATGAAAATGAAAGACTTAACCACTATATAACCTGACACTTGACAGTGTTATAACATTTCATTGACACTGACTTTCATTATCTCGAGTTATCCACCATGTCGAATAAATTTAAAATAGTAAATTCAATCTTCATTTCTGAAAACTGATAAAAAGACTTTGGGAACTTTGTCGAAGAATTTTTATTATTTCCTATGTTACAAAACTAATTTTCCTACATTATAATCAGAAAAGATTCAAATAATAGTTCCGCTATTTGAGTAAATATGATTTCCCTAGTCTATCTAATCTGGATCACCATTAAAAACCTAGAAGCCCTGAACGGCTGTTTCATCCTAGTATGAGACTTCTTAACAGTGAGCATCCACGATCTCGTACACGGGACTGAAAACCAGGATCACGTTTTCAATGATGGTCTAGCACAGTTTGACTTATGAATTCAATTGTGAAAATACTACAATATCCACAAATTCCTATACTGATAATAATATAATTTGTTAGTAATTCTTGTGTTATATTAATTGACAGTGAATAAAATCATTGAATCATAACTGAATTAGAAGTGATAACCTTGAGGCTACAGTTATTAATATACCACATTTCATTATATGAATAGAAAATTCTATTGACTAAAGAACTATTCACAATTTCTTTTCTAAGCAATGAATAATTACTATACAAAAAAGTATAATTAATTGTTTTATAAATATTGAAATTTTTTTTTCTCATATTGGGTTGTCTTGACAACTGTTTAATGTTCTGTTTTCTTTTTTTTTTACATTAAACGGAAGTGAGAGTTTAAAATTGATTAAGTGGAAAAATTTTAAATATTTTATTTTATTCTTGATAGATCCCTTTTACCGCTTATAGATGATAAATTAATGTTTAATTCATTTTAGTTAATTTAAAAATTAAATGTTTAAGTATTCTATTGGCAACAATTTCACATGGTTACAAAAAAGAAGCAAGAAACAAATGATTGTTTTAAATGTTTACATTAATTTAGATAAGAAATTAGTATACTAATTTTTCGGGTAAAATCTATTAGCCATTATTAATCGCTTAAGGTGTTGAGTTGTAACAATTAAATATAAACGTCTTCAATATTCACATTTGATAATTATTCTACTTCATTAGTGATATTTTTCCTCAAAACTTTATATCAAAATGTGATCTTATGAAGATTTCCATATTTTTGAAAGTTTTTCCTATTTCTTATCAGAGCCTAAAGTCACATGGAAAAATGGACATTTAAAGTATGATTCTATAATCATTAGATGAATAACTTTAGGGTAGATTTCGTTCTGGTAGAAAGCTGTAAAGACACTAACTGATCAATGATACTATTAGATGATTGCAGTTCAGAACAAAAATCAATCACAGTTGGAAATGTGGATGTTTGAATTTTCTTAATTCCCTGGTCAAGATATATCGTATTCGTCGTGAAACTTGAAGTTTGTACATTCGATTTTGTATAGAGTTTTGAATTATTACAGAAATCTTTAGTAACTTGTTAGCCAATGTCATTTCTTGATGAGCTCTACCCAGAAAATGCGAATACTACAGATGATATCACACCAGAATCTTCTTGGGAGTTTTTCATTACACTGGATGAGAAAAGTGTGAAATTACCTCATTTATTTCTCATACCATTCAGATAATCTTGAGGTGATAACTAAAATAAAACTGTTAAAATCATCGTGCTATAAATAAAATTATGTTTTGTTCTATGGCATTACTCTGAAAATTCTATGCAGATTAAGTTTCTCCATGGAAAATTTAGTTTATTCAAGGTGAGCTTAAATAGACAAGCAGGTATTCTAAAAAGAATCTAATTGTTTGAATAGTATGTAACATCTAGGAACAGTTTAGGCAATCCATATCAAATACTCATTCATTACACTATCTGTTTCTCTACATAAATATACAAATAATTTGAAATATTTCAGTGGTATAGTTTTCCATTTTTTATTCTTTTGTTACTCTGGATACTACTTGAATTATGATTTAGGAGTCAAACGTCAATAGTTATCAATAATAAAATCATTAAGGTTTTATGCTTAGCATGGTTTGATAAGAGCTGAAATGGAAATGACAAAACTCTAACTTTCTCTTATGGGAAAAGTTTGTATATTTTGTTTCTACTAGATTGTCTGTTCATAATATTACTATATTATCATATCTGCAATTAGTGATTTGATTCACTAACTGGTGTGATGTCTTTTGCCGCCCATAAATTTACTATAAACCAGTTACTCAGATTTTATTAAGAATATTTTAATTATTTAGAGACTGAGATTTGTTACTGATGATTCGTAGTAATATCATATCAAATGTATGCAATCACGCGTTTTTGAGTTTGGATGATTCAAAATAATTGGTTGGTCCTTCTTATAAGTATATTGAAAGTCGGTGGATTTTGAGTCAGATTGTCAAATGCTAGAGGATACCGTAGCACAGTGGATTCATTGTCGGTGGTTTGGTTCTCTTTCTGTGAATATCGCAGTATCTTAATTTAATGTTATTTCTGAAATTTGGATTAAGTTGCTACTTTTTATCAGCAATTAAAGGTAAACTTTTTAAGTCAACCTACGTTGCCACCGTCATTCAAAACCTGGTGATTAAGATGTTTAAAAAAAGCACATTTAAAGTAATTTATGATCGTTCGAACAGATGATCTGCTATTCACATTTCCGGAGATTCTCAATCTATGTTGGTTAATAGAGGACATTTTGAAGTTCGAGTTACACACATCTGGCAGCTATGGAAATATGCAGTGCATGGAAGTGAGATACACCAGATGAAAAACACAACTGTGGTAAAGGTTGGGGTTCAAAATGAAAATTTTAGAGCGAATTACAATTCGATATGCAGCATTCGTCAGTTGAGTCAATGCAAAAATGATCGGAAGTGTTGAATGCGATACAGTGAGCATTAAAGTGTTGCGGATCACAGTTCATTATTGAGGTATTTTGTGCTTGCAATCATTTTCTTAGATGCATGTAGCGATAATAAATGTATATTACAAAACAACATGGTTATATATATACATATCCTTCAAGTATAAGTTTGTTAGTCTCAGTTGAGAGCTTGAACTTTTGGTTAGTAGTCTTAAAAAATCAGTTAGATAATAATAATTAATTGACATACAAAATATTAGTTGAGTTAATGACACGAGTATGTCTTTCGTGGTTAACAATAGCAGAAACTTCAAACTATTTTGTAAAGCTCATATTTAAAAACTAAGTATGATGTCTTACGTACTACTAATAAATAAATTTACTAATTATGTACCGAACCTCGTATTGAACAGAAAAAAAAACAATACTTGGAGAAATTCAAGTATGAGTTCTAACTGATTTCAAGATTTATAACGGAATTCGTAAGTGCCCTGCTTCTGATGTATTTCAAGATATTTGCTGAAATATCACAATGAGTAGTTGACATAAGCAGAATTTAGTCTTGTCATATGATTGATTCTAGAATTTATGGGTTGCTTTATAGTTGCATAACCATAGGGCAGTAGAAATGATGAGTGAAACTAAGTGAAAATGCTTACTATGTAGTCGCGATTGATTCTAGTTATGCTCAAAACTAAACGTATGAATAGCCAAATAGCACTTGAAACGAATATTACATCGATTCGGTCTAACTTTACTGCAACCTGTTTTCACTTAACTAGCAGTGTTATTTTAAAGAATTACTCATTTGTTGAGTCGATATGCGTATCCCTTATTTCTTTTCTCTCAATTGTCTCATATTTACCTTATTCCTCTACTAATTACAACATATTGGTGCTTCACAAACAGATTGTACTGATCCTAACTTAGGTTTTGGATAAACTCTAGGTTGATAATACAAAAAAGTACTAAAATCCGTAAGTACACTAACTTTTATGAGCATCCAAGAAAAGAAACGTAGATTTACTTTAAAGCAACATTTTGAATGATTTAACTGTTCCGTTTTTCTATGTTAGCTTGATAATGATTGTAATAGATCAGTGATTATTCGTTGTATGTGATACAAGTTCATTTAAATTGAAATAATACGTCAGGATTTAACTCAGTAAATGGATTGAAACAATAATACGCCAATCTAGCAGCATGAGCATATATATATATATATAATCCTTTGTGCATAATTATGCTTTTTATTTATCATTCTAATAAATTCATATACGTTCAATCCTTTATCCATAAGTGCTTGTTGATTAGTGGCTATTACAAGACATTTAGAGCAGATCTCGGAATTTCAATGTTTTCGAGCATATTTAATACGATTATTTATTCTATCCTCATTATGTATTGTTAAGCAATTGAGCACGTGACTTAGTGTATAAGGTTATGGATTTCAGATCATGGATCGTAGATTCGAAAGTTCCTTAGACTATTTTGGCTACATATGTTTGTATTTACCAAACAAAAATTCATTCTGAAAATTTATTTTCTTTAAACAAATGAAACAAATAAAGAAACTGATTTTGCATTTCAATTCATCATATATAAACAATATCGATTCAATCTTTTTATAGAAAAGCAGTAAGGATAGTTATATTCTTAAATAAAAATTCAAACTGTTCAAATGAACGAATAAAACATAATTCATTAGAAAAAAGAAACAAAATAATTAGACAATAATTAATTTCCAAGGAGAGAGAAGTTGATGACGAAGTATTCACATACTAAAGTATAAAAAGACATTAAATGATTCATTAAAAGAACAAATGAAAGGCGATTTCAATTTCATAGGAAAATTAGGTTTTTCAAAGAAAATTTCACTTCAATAGTTAGATGACCACTAAAAAAAAAGAAAAAGTTCTTGAAATAAACTAGAAGCATCTATAGTTTGAACAAACTGAATAAATTGAAGTGAATTAGTACAGAGAAAGCCAATCAAGTTGATATAGAATCTGACTTGCAAAAGACTAACTTTACCATCTTGTCTAATTTTGATTAAACAAACATTATCAAAGAAGTGAGTTACAACGACAACAATATCAAGTATTTTATTATTTTTTCAAAGGTAAGGTCGGTCGAAATGAACAGTAGGTAGGGAGAAATCTCACTGCATCTAATACACTAATCCTGACCAAAAAAACAGGAATTAAGTGTTGAAGAGTGAATAGAAATCTGGAAGAATAATTGCTTAATCGAAAATGACAGAGAAAATCAAATCAGTTGACCAACCAGACAACTAACTAATCATAAGGCTACATATAATGTCGGACGAATATACGGAATATATATTAGTAGTATGGAGAATGCTGGTGGGTGACCTATGCTCCTCCACGAGGGGTAACAGGCGTAAGTACGTAGTAGTATATAGAACTGAGCAAAATCATTAACGCATGAAATAAAAATCAAAAATTATTATTAAAATAGAAATTATTCAAGCAAACATCACACATTTATACACAAAAATGAAATTATGTACTGGGAAAAAATGACAGAACCCGTGAGATCTTTGAAAAAAATAAAGACGATACACAGGTAACCGAAGAGATTTCAGATACATATGTGAGTGTATGGATAATATTCTGAGTGTTAAGAGAGCGAATGAGAACGAGCGAAATACGCGTAGAAAGAGAAATCGACCAACGAATACATTTGTGTTGGATATATTTGGCTCTATGATAAAAGTGCATTGTGAGAAAAATAGGAATCAACAGTGATAAAAACAAGTAAACAAGGAAATGAATAAAATTTTCGTTTACTTGTTAAACAGTGAAAACATGATACATACCACCATACAAATGTCTGGGTAGAAAACAGTTGAGCATACACAGTATTATTTTTAAAAATTGGTTTATGAAAATGAGGGGAAAAATACTTGAAAGGACAATAACCTGGAATTTGTATGTATAAATCCGTAAACTATATGCGTAAATTAGAATGAATAAATAAATAAACAACACACTGATTCATGAAGTTGGTCGAGGAGGAATGCGCGGCATACCAACATTACCTGGACGTCTAAATTTAATAAAAATGTAAGCGCAAAAAAAATGCAGAAAACGTTTGAATAAAAGTAAAACACATTATGCACAATACATCTATAGCCAACTTATTTATTCATTTATTTATTTGAACACATAAATATTGGTACAAGAAGGCACCAAATATATATGCGCCACACATAATATATATATAATGTATCAGATTTTAATCCAATGAATAAATGGATTAGTGGTAGTATAACTCGTTCGAAACCAAATGAAGGTCAATGCAAGAAGTGTAGATCGTAATGGAAAAAATTTACTTATTTCGTAGGTTCAGTTAATTCTAAGCAGAATTTAATGAACGGTTGGTGTAATGTCAATAAAAATTTAGTAAATGGAGATTTATTGTTCCTTTTATTGTTATTTTTATAATAAACAGACTGTCCCAAAATAAGTTTACTTCAAATATCAAACTAAACCTTGGTAGTAATACAAAATGTGAATGCGTTACTGGTCTAGAAAATGACCTAAAGACTACTGGTTTGGTCTCTAAAGTGATTTAATTTACTGACCACGTACAATGTTATAACAAATGTCCAAAGTATGTTACGTTTTATAGCATTTTCAGTGACGTCAACTTATAAAAATGTTGTTAACATGGAGTCACATGTAACATCAAATATTACTGTATTTACGTTATTGCAAGTGAACTAGATTTGATCTTCGAATTAAAAAAACTGCTTTATATTAATTATTAAGCTAAAATAAACAAAAGTTATACAGAATCAATGTTAATAACAAATAGTAATCAAAATATTAACTGGAAGTTGAATATCAACACAACTGACTGAAACTCACTCTGGTATACTTGGATGTCCAAGATTACCAGATAACGATGTTAATTTCGGTGGTGGAATCGGTGGTGCTATTACACTTGATTGGGATTGATTAAAAAGAGGATCAAATGAAACCCACGGTGCATTAGTAGTAGAATAAGTGGTATTTGGTGTTGAGCCATTCGATGGGTTAGTAGTCATAAATGTATTTCCACCAATACCACCGGAAGATATAGTACCTGGAAGGTTGCCAGTACTTGCACTTTGAGAAAGACCATTATTGAATTGTGGCATTCGTCTGCAGATTGATATAAAGAATATACATATAAACGATGTATAATGTTAATAATAGTACGATAAAACAGTTTTGAATAGAACAGCTTGTTGTCTTTTTTATAACTAAAACACGATCATAATATTGATGCACAAGAAGGTGAAATTCTGTGATAAAAGTAAGCGATACTGAGGACCTTGAGCCAATCAGTGGACAGTGTTTAGTTATACAATAACTAACAATGAAAAGCGATAAATAGTTTGATAGGATTTACCAAACTATACAAGTTAAATTATTTATGATAGTAGAGGTAAAAGCTGAGGTTACTTATTAGGAAATGGATAAGTGTACTAAGTTAGGATTAGTTTTTGTTACGAAATGATATCAGCTACATTGCAATGATGTTTTGTCAGTTCTTTATTAACTTATGAAAATTAGGGTTTAAAATTAAAGTTGGAGAATTCTAACATCTCTAACTATGCATTGAATCATATCAAGTAATATTACATAAAATCTGCATCAGTACCAAGTATTTCTTGTAATTTAGCCTAAACATTACGTCACATTCACTGTTTGGCGACACAACAGATATTTTTAAAAAAAAAGTAATTATACGTGTTTAGGGAACCATATATTGCCAAATTTCACTTACTTTACAATGAAATACAAGCTATCTTTCACTGTGTTTTCAATTTCATGCAAACATGCAAAAGGTATTATTTTAATTCTGATTAGTTTACCGAAGGGCGTTGGTATTTCTTTACCAATTCGGTCTTAAGAAAAGATTTCAACTACGATAGGTTAAAAATTGATATCAATTGTATAGTGGTAATTATTGGTAGCTTAGAGGTTGATTCATTAAATTAAAAGCTTATATCAAGATATGTGATATAGAGTGTAGATAACAAAGAGAAATTTATATCTTCCCAAATATTTATTCATACAACATAGTGGTAGTAGTAGAGAAAACAATAAGCCCAGAGACTGGTTAAAACATAGAAATGGTAAGAATGTCAATAGAATAGCCAGTAACATTTTTATATTGAATTTAAAAACAAAAATTATACTGAATAATTACAATTCTGTAAGGAGAGAAACTAACGAAAAGAATGTTTCTATTACAAGTTACGGATAAATATGCATAAATTATAAAGAAGCCTATTAGTTTTCACTAAATCAGATTACTTACAAATAACTGAATAAAAAGGAAATGAAAGTTTCTAAGTTCAAATTATTCAATGAAATTGATGTCAATTAATGTTTTGGCCTAAGGAAACAAAAGTATCTACTATAGAATATTAACAATAATTAATATGATTGTTCTGAAATGGAATTTATTAAAAATATTCACAATATATAGAATGAAACTATTTTTCATTTATATTTCAGTTGATTTATGAGATAGATTTATATTTATTTATTTGAACACATAAATATTGGTACAAGAGGGCACCAAATATACATGTGCCACGCAAAACAATGATAATTTGAAGAGAAGAAAAGAAAAGGGAAAAACAACGAGCAGATTAGTGCAAGGCAGTGTAATAATAATAATAGGGGAAACAGAAACGTACAATCAGAAGAGGTCTTTCAGTTAAGGAAGAAGCAACCACTTTTCATGAAGAAAGTAAAAGAAGGTTATAGCAGGATCGCCACTGGCTCCTATTCTGAGCCATATCTGATAACGTCTCTAGCCGCTTTATGAGATAGAAAGGAATGACCTTTGATTTTGTGTATACATTTTACAGATTTAGAGTCTTAAAAAAAGAAACAGCTTACAAGTATTTATAAGATTTTTCAGTAATAATATAATGTCAAATAATGGTTCTTATTTATAAAATGTCATTGTTAAAATTTAGAACGTCACAAAACAAAATAAATAGGTCGAATACAAAAATGCATCCTTAGAAAACACCAACTGGTGTGTATGTTTATGAAATATGGGTTTGAATTAAATTGTTTCCTGAATTCAGTAAAATAAATTTCAACAGAAGGATATAATTCAATGATCAGGTTAAATAGGCCGAAACATTTTCATTCGCTTCATCTATACGTCTTAACCAACTAGATACTATAAGTCATGTGTAACATAACTAAGGTAATCATGTTATACTTATATATGGCTCTATTCCAGGACCGTAAAGACTAAAACTGTAATAACTCACAAAGAACACTGTGAGGGATTTATGCATTAAAATCGTATTACTGATGACTAAGTAGCTTTTTATCGCTTATCTTCTAGTATTTCATTAGTTAGTCGTAAAATAACTGTTCTGTTGTTGGTTGATATATTTTTCTGTATTCAATCATATTGAACTAGTCATTATTGTACTTATCGATGCTGTCTATTGATTATTCTTTTTGAGTTTATCACCTTGAGAGTTTTAGCACAACCATTTATTATTTATGCATATTGATTTATCAATATTCTGATAAATCAAAACAGTTTGCTGACTTCAGTCAACCTCATGTGAATTGTCCCGATAATTTTAACACACTATGTTCAACAAAATGAAAAACATCTCTTTAGGAAGCTTATTTCATGACAAAAAAGGGCGACTAATTCGTTCTATTTTGCTATAAATCTACATTGCATAAGATTTAGAAACAGATAACATTGTTAGCCAGTATGAAATAAATGTTTACAAATTAAACAATTAGTCTTATTATTATTGTTGTTGTTATTATTATATGTATGCAGTCGAAATAATTACATGTCATTCCACAAAAATTTCAGAAGAGAATAGTAATCCTATTGTTATGTAATCTCACTGCGATAGAAGTCATTTGTAATAATTCTTTCTACAGTACAATTTTAAACCAATCATACATTAGTTTAACAAGGAAATATTTACTAAGTTAGACTAAATAGTAGCTTAATTAAAAAATTAAAAGCTTATTAGAGTTGATTTATTAGTATTTCTTGAAGATAAATCAAAGAACATCATTTCGATGAGATATTTTGATGTTGAATGATTCACATCAATCAATTTCTGGATCACGAATTAATGCTACTACTATTACGATAAATAGCAAAATATGACAATGAATCTTTACTTTTTAATATATCAAATGTTTGGATTAAATCTAGAAAAGCTGTTTTGTAATCGTACAGTTGCATGTACTGCTTATGCTGACAGATTTAAGCCGTATGTAGCAACAATCGGAAGTGGAATGCTCGTCCAAAGAACATTCAATTAAAAAGAGAAAGCAACACTGAGTGGAATTTTAATCACAACACAATTAAAAAGAATCAAAAAGTATGTAGAGAATATGTGAAGGAAGACGTGCAAATAATGTATTTACAGTATAATTTTCATATTTTATAAAGGCATTGTGTAATTTGGCATGTAACAAAAGATTAGTTTACCGTACCTGAGTTCTCGTTCACTACAGTACAAATGATGCGAACTTAAATGTTAATAATAATAATAATAATAAAGCCTACACCTAGAAACTGTAATTTCTAAGTTGCTTTAAAATGTGTGTTTTCGTAAAGAAAACTGATCAGAAATGTGAAATAGCAAAAATTATGATAATCTTAGCGATATGATCGCACAGTAAAACATTAGTGATTGTATACACTTTAGAAAAAAAGCCAAATTCATTAAACCCAGAGTTATCAATAGTACATAAATTGACAGTCAATACTGAGGCGTCATAAACGTGGCATGAGTAAGTTTTAATATATTTTTCAGTATTAAAAATACTACATATTTACCACAGAAGATACATGTAACGAACCAAGTAACTTTCTAGCAAGTTTGGAGATACTAGCTTAGGTACATTTTATGTCATAACAATAAAATATATTGCATAAGTACATAAATTCATTGATATAAAAGGGGAAAAGTTAATGGACAATTATGAATTATCTTTTTTTTTCATTTACAGTAAGAAAACAGTAAAAATTCTTCCATATAATCAAAAACAAGAACAGACTTTAAGGCGTATTCTTGTCATTATGCATTAATTATTACTACAGGAAACACAGAAAAAGCTCAGTAATAAAGCTTGGGAAATATGGTGAATTTGTTGTTGTAGTATGCCCATAACGAAAAATCAGAACAGAAAATATCACAATGAAGATATGAATAATGAGTGAAAATTAGTAGTAATGATAACTACTATTACAAATAATAATATTAAGAATAAGTAGATATCTTAACCAATAATTCCGGAAAGATTAACTTGTTACTAAGAAAGAAGGAAAGAACAAAGAGAAATTATGTATTATGATCCATGTCCGTATTTTACAAACTAAACATATTCTTTAGCTGAACTCTTATGTTTGTTCACAACCAGTGGCCAAACCAAACGCATCAGAAATAAGATCACGTAAATCGTTATGGTTTTCAATACACCTACGTGAATTTGTTCTTACATTTGGTCAGATGATGAAATCAGAATTCAAGTAACTAATGAGTCATTTTTATGACCTTTTATAAGTGTACGTGTTTATAGGTATGATTTATTTGTGAGCATGCTTGTTTATTGTTTACCTTATTTATTTTCTATTTCAATAAAATACAAGCTTATTTAAAGACTCATATTGTGGGTTCCAGGTGTACCAACTTTCATGATTTACCTATTCAATTTACATTTATGATCTTATCTCCTCATGTTTGGATGCTTGAAGTGACATCTTCCAGTTATATTTTGTACATGGCCTTTTACTATTATCATTGTATAAATGGAATTAGCTACAGGAAGTATATGTTTAATAGAAACGTGATCGTAAGATAAATCCATTGGCTAATTTTAACCTTTATCCAAAAAGATGATCGACATGCTTTATTGTCATTTTGGGCATTATTACTTGTCACTATAAACGTACGTACTGTATACTGTTTTTGGAATATGAGGACGCGTCAGGTTATGAATTACTTTTTTAGCAAGTATAGAATCTATTTTCTACTAATACATCGACTAAACTAAATAAACCGAATTCAATAGTCACTGCTCCATTCACAGGTTTCTGTACTCGGGTAACATAGCTAGATTTTAATTATTTGGAAGCTACTGATAGTGCTCGGATACACAAAGTGAAAAAGATGGAGGTAAGAAGGCTTAAATCTGCAACACTTGTGGTGGTTGGACAAACGGGGATTTGTTCAGCTAGATAAACTTCAAATGTAATGATTTTCTTTTTAGTCTTTCATATTTATTTATATTACCAAAGCCTATACGTCACATACGCAGGTTAAATTTACAGTTATCTTCATAAACAAAGTGATATGCTCAACTCTCTGTTGTTCTCTCAAAGTGATACTCCACTCGACTCTTCCAAAGTGGGAAAAAAATTGAGAACGAACAATATGAATTCCAATAACCCGAAAAACAAAGATAAATTAGAACAAACATTAGAACTTAGAATTTACAAAGGAATCTTAAAATATCTTCGCGACTCATCTCTTAGTGTTGAGTGGTCAAAAATGAACCAATCAGCAAATTCTGACTTTAGATTCTCTGGAGCATGGAATAGTCGGAAACCCATCCTACTAACAGAGGTTGAATTTTAAAGGATTTTTTTAATTTCACTAAGTAGTGAAGTAAGAAAACAAAAGCCGATAAACAATGGGTGAGAACTGAATGGTGTCTGATGTTATTCTGATATAGACATTTGAACAGTTACATATTCTTCTACCGTATAATTTAATATGTAGGCGAGAAAAGGCTGCTAAAATGAGCCTAAGTTATCTTGCTTTTGCTAACAGAAGTGAGTTCTTTTGCGAAAGAAATATCGAGAAAACTTTCTTCGATTCAGATTTCCACGCACTGATGTACTATTGTTATTCGACTGGCTTTTTCCACTTTTAGCTTCTTAACTTTACTATAGGCTCCAAGGTTATACTTTTGTTACATAAGAAGAATCGTTCAACCCTAAATTTGTCTTCTTTAATTTCAAGCTTTCTATAAAGTCCAGTCTACTTTTGCCTTCCGTTGCGCTTGAGATAATTGTTGAAATGTAGAGTGCCAGTTATCCGGTCAACTGAGTTTGCATTAGATCCCTTTGTATAAGAAACATCTCGATCGTTAATACTTAGAAATTATCACAGACCAATCATAAAGCACCGAAAACAAACTGAAGTTTCTAATAATGTGGTGTTCGTAGAAAAAAGACAGTTTTGAAAGTTGTCTAGTACACTCAATTATTTCAAAGTTATTGAGATATACAATATAAGACAAAGCATTTCTAATAAACATCATATAATTATGTTAAGATAAATGAACAAGAAATTAATTGATTTCTTAAGAAAAAAGCATTGGATAAGAAAAATACAACTGAAATACATTAGCTTTCTAACATAAAACAAATAGAAAATATACAGCCGCTTTGTTTACTTTATTTATCATATATAAGAAAAGATACTACTAAGTAGATACAAACCAAAAGGTTAAGGCAAAAAAAAGAAACGGGAAAGGCGACGCAAAGTTACTTATTTTGTAAGTGGTTTCAAAGCTTTGAGAAATCCGTGATATCCCAAATCCATGTGAATTATGATTAATGAAGTTTGAAGATAGCGGCATAAGTCTATAATGAATATAAGAGAACACTTATATTGTAAAATCTGTATAACATTTGATCTCCCTTACTGACTGAGTTGTACTTTGTGCTAAAGCACTTTTGTTGTGGTCTAATCTAATTCTCAATCAAATGGCCGAATGAGTAGTGATTAAGTATCTAGTGATGGTACGTTGCTATAGCACAGTGATTCTTATTCGTAAATCAGTATTTCGAAATATATCTTTCTTACAATAGATTTCATACGTCATTCTGTGATGCCGATGTGCTAAATGAATTCATAAGGAATCAAGAACATGTTGGTGTACGCAATAGATATAACTTCTAGTAATTTGATAAACAAAATTAGGTTGAATGTCATTTCGCGATAAATCAATGTATGATCTAAGTATTACGTAGTCAGACAAGGAACTTCTATGACTGTAATTATGCTACTGACTATTTCCTGTTGTTATTTGTGTTGTATATCATTACCAGTATTTATAGATTTATATTGTTTCGCGTATTGTTTTCCTCTCTCAGTGAACTAAGTGAAACTAACAAAAATACTGCTTATTTTCAAGCTAGTTACCGCATATAGGGAGAGAGAGAGAGAGAGTAACGCCCATTCATCTTTGCTTACTCATTATGCTGTATATATGAAATACAGTGCAACAACAACAAAATGAGTAACTAGAATATGAAAAACTTTAAAGTGAACATACTCAGCAAGTTAAAGAAAGAAACGATGGGAAACAGAAGATATTTTGTATATTCAAAATAAATACGGAAATGGTTATATATTATGTAGAGAAAATCGATTACAATTATTGTTATAATTGCTAGTTGAAATAAGATTTTAGGAGGTTATTAACTTTATTCACTAATTAAAAATAGTCAACACAAATGAATTTCAGTTTATAAAAAACTTGCACATTTATGGCTAGTGTGTGAATACATATGAGAAGATAGTCAACATCATACGATGAAATACAATGCAAAGTCGTAAATGGAAGACAGCTAACAGGCGCATTCCAAGTTAGGACCGGAGTCAGACAATGCTGCTTATTCTACCTCTCCCTCTTTCTTCTGGATTATGAAGACCTCGACATTTGAGGGAAAGTACGGAATACGATGGACAGTTAAGAATCAATGGACGACTTGAACTTCTCAAATGAGCTGGACCTTCTATCCCCTACGCATCAACAAATGCAAATGAATAGAACCAGTGTAGCAGCCTCTACATACACAAGTGTAAAAGCAAAATCCTCAAACGCAACACGGAGAATATCAACTCAATCACACTTGATGTAGAAACTTTGGAATAGGTGGAAACCCTCACGTACCTGATCAGCAGCATCAATAAATAAAGATCTCACGCAGATATTAAGGCGAGGATTAGCAAAGTAAGGCCGCATTCCTACAGTTGAACATATGGAACTCAAAACAACTGTCAACTAACGTCAAGGTCTCAATCTTCAATACGAACCTCATGACGGTTCTACTGTACACAACTGAAACTTGGAGAACTACCACAACCATTGTCAAAAAAGTGCAAGTATTTATAAACAATTGTCTACACAAGATACTCAGTTTCCATCGGTCGGATACAATCAGCAACAACCTACTATGGGAAAGAACAAAGTAGCTTCCATCTGAAGAGTAAGTTAGGAAGAGACGTTGGAAGTGGATAGGAAACAAATTGAGGAAATTAATAAACTACATCACGAGGCAATGGCCACCTTGGAATTTTGAAGGGAAACGGAAAAGAGGAAGGCCATGAAACACACTGCATCTGGAATTGGAAGGCATCAAAAAGACGAGTAACAACTGGAAGAAACTATGTAGGATAGCCGAGGACAGAGTTGGATGGACAATGCTTGTGGATGGCCTATGCTCTTCCAAGAGGGGTAACAGACGTAAGTAGGTAAGTGTGTATATGCACACACTTTTGAATAAGTAAACACACAACTTACTCAATGATATTTAAGCGAAGGACACTAAAATAGATAGAGTATTAAACTTGATCTTGAACTGACATATGTTCCTATCCTATCGAAATATCATAGACAAAATAATTTCACAAGTGGAAATAAACAATTTTTATACAATATGACTGTAGTTCATATGGATAATTTCATTGCTTTAAACATCAGATCGAAACAAATAACGACTTTACATACATTACAATTCATATATGAAATCAAATTTGTGAACGTAGAAAACACATGAAGAGATTGTTTCTGTTTGTATAAATGAGCGCGAAAAACTTACTGAGGAAGAAGTGGAGCTGGAAGTTGACCAGGGGCTGTAGTTACAATTGTTGGGGGATTCAAAGTATGCCGTATAGGTAAATTTGGTGCTGGTCTTGAAGGTATGGGACGATTAGAATTTGATGTGATATTATTAGGACTTAAAGGTCTTTGTGTTGTACTAGTACTGTGATGACCGGAATGAGATGCATTACTAGAAGGAAGTGGTCGACGAATATTATTTGATCCAGTAGATAACTCCTGAAATTTAGGAAAAAATTACAATGGGTTTTTCAGAAAATTGCACTAAATGAAGGGTTTATTAATAAACTGTTAGTAACGTATGGGTATTTACAGCAATACCATACTTCATGCAATTATTCTTTAAAAAAGACATAATCCCCTCAGTGTGTATATTCAATACCACAAGGTGATATTGAAGGTATAAAATGCGGTAACCATCGGTTAAATCTAGCCAACACACGAATTCCCACAAAATATTGACTACTAATACTATCTTACTTTATCCAGTGTACATAACGAATTATTCCGATAACGATAAATTAATTACTGGTGCTAAATATCTAGATAGACCAGATAGAAATGTGTTATCATTAACTCACTTTATGATACTTAATTACTCGATGAAAGATTATTTAGAAATACTTAGTTATTTTCGTAACCTTTTTTCAAGCCTTGTATGTCAAATGTTTTAGGTATTTCAACTTTGAAAATTAGATTTTTTTCTATATTTGTGAATTCAACCAAATCTCATGAATGATTTATTTTGTCACTTACTATGTACGTAGCAAATCTAACATACACCAATCTTACAAGTCTTAAAACCATTTGAAGTAAATTACATGATTGATAACATAAGAGGAAAACACAACATTTGGTAAACTATAAAATATCTATAATTAAAATTTCAGTCTATCAAGTTGTTATATTTTAATATTTTATGTTCATGCTACAATAATTACCGAACCAGGGACGATTGTCGCGTAAAGCGATGACACCAACTAGCACACAACACTTTGGCGATAACATAGAAGGAACATGAGTTCTAAGTGGGGCGAACAGGGCAAACTACAAGAGTAGGACTCCGTATATATAGTAACTAAAGCATGACCTTCCACCATACAGAAATTCAGCCGACTATAAGAAATGGAAACCATTCAGAAAAAGGCAAATATAAAGCGGAAAATTGAATTAGAAAAAGGCACTTGGGGTTATTTTTTCTGGTAAAATTTCAGCCTAGTCAGCGAAATTTCGGTTATCTTCAAATTGTCTTAGCATAACTATTACTCAATTAAGGTAGGATGAAGCACTGAAACAATTTTGAGCAATAACAAAGCAATTTACTAGGTATGTTATTATACAGTTGAATCTAAAATCTGGAAAAAATATTTCTACGCAACTAATTGGTTGGTTAAGTTATGAATAGGAGAGAAAAATAATTGGCTGAAAAATATTCAACCATCGAGTACAAGGATTATGTGTGCTCATGTTGGAGTTAAAGTAGTATCAGAAATAATGTGCAAATATATTGAATTTCAACAGCTGGATTCAAAAGACGATTATTAGAGTGATTAAAACGACTCCTAAGATGTATTTTCTATCAATGATTTTAAATTATATATTAATATGATAATATTTGTCAGACAAAGCTTACCGTCTCAATCCAGTCATCACTAACAGGTGGAGGTAATGGGACACTATGCGTATTAGCTATGACATCTGATATAACTGATAATGCCTCACGTATTGAATCATACATACGTATAATTTCTTCACGATGCTTTTTCTCAGCTGATGACTCTTCCATAAGATTGTTCTACAACGATGATGATATTTTTAAAGCAAATAGAAAATAAAACAAAAAGAAAATGGACCGATTAAATATAATGCGTGAAATGTGTTCACATGAAAATCTTATACACTTTCTAAACAATAAATGTTTCAATAACTTAGAGATTTTTGTCAAATTCATTCGTGGGAAACATTTTACAATTAACAATAATTAGTTTGACCAATGTTGAGGATGAAAAAACCACAAGAACGTTCGACTTCAAATTAGCACAACGCAGTTATAATTCATTGGTCATCACTGATCTCGACGCATCCGTTTGTAGGTAGACACATCACTTATGATGTGCACCAGTGTGGTCAAAGAAAAACCAACTCTAACCTCTATTAACTAATAAAACGACGCTAAGAAGGTAAACTTTGTTTTAAAAAAAACACTGAATAACATACTATCGCACGATATAATAAGTCAAATCCTATAAATATATAGAGAGATCAATCGTAATTACCCTAATTATTCGATAACTAATTGAAAATTCAAAGCTTTCTGAATTCCATTTTCATTATATTACTGTTATAACTTGTGTCTTGTGCCCTATTAATATATAACGTAATGATACCGCCAATAAGAGAACAGTGACTAATCGACCAGACCAATGACGGACCCGTACGAGCAATCTAGAGTCATTATCGGTCTTTCTTCCTGCCTAGCCCTGCTTGTTGAGTCCAGAACACAAATCTCGGTCTCCTCGATATGAATCATGTATTTCAAACATACTGGGTTTATATAAAAGCCAAATAGACCACATCACACCATAAAATAGAAAGTAACATTTCTACAAGATCTAGCCAAAAGTGGCTGTGATTGTAGGATACTGTAACTAATGGCAGATCGAGTAATAATAGTCCATAGATCAAAATTGTCATTGATTCTCATTGGGAAAACATAACTCAAGATTCCATGAGCCTCAGTATCGTACAAATGAATAAGTCACATCATGTGGCGTTTACTAGTCTATATGTATGTACAAAGATAACTCAAGATATGTAGTTGAGGGTGGTCAAGGATATCCAGAAATAGCTACACGCCTAGCTGGCATCATAATTTCAGATATGTTAAATGGGTCAATAATCTTTCTCATCTAATCGTATATACATGAAATAGTGAAAAAACTTAAAACAACTCTTACCTCTTTTACAAGCGAACTGTCAATGTAACATTTTCAGGTCCAATAGAAATCTTAATCACTAGGAATTTTAAGCACCCTTTTATGTTTTCCAACACAATATGTTGCGACTTTAAACCTGCCTTGGCAGTTCTTAATCAAGTTCTGATGGCAGATTTGGTGTAAAAAGTATATACTTTCTGGTATTATGATGTTCTTATTGTTATTCTGTACACTTCCAATAATTAATTATGACTTAGTTGACCTTTTTATTCGTAAAGATTTTTTGTTAGTTTTCGTACTAAACCTTTTGACTTACTAAATATATGACCAGACCGTTTGAAATGCACTACACAAAAGTATTACATTGCTTATTACAAATATTAAATTTACAATGTGGAATAATTGTTTCAAAATCTCAGACCACGACAAACTTCCCAATTATAACAATCGATGTTCAATTGTCGGTAATCAGGGAAACATTGGTCTACCTAATGATACTTTGATTACTCAGAATATGACTTGTTATCGAAATTTCAAAAAAGGAAACCGTTTCTTTTGATAAGCAAAAAACAAAACCCAAGTATCACTATGGAATTTCGGAGATTGTTGAATTTGAATTGAGATCATATAACGACTCAGTGAATAGAAAAAACAATTATCTATTTATACAATATACTGCCACAAAAAATGTTATTCCCTAATTTTATGTCAGTCACACTTTGTAAATTGTCGTATAATAAAGAGACGATTAACAGCAATGTAAGTCAGACTTGAAAAGTGAAAATAAATCAAAGACAACTGTGGATACTTTCTTCATTATTTGTTTCTTCAGTTTCGACCAACAATTGTTTTCTACATTTAAACATCAGTTCATGATAGAAATTGTCGTTTAAAGTATTGAGATAGTAATTGTTCATAGCATTTTATTTTTCAGATTGACAACTGATATTTGGTAGTGTAAGTAAAATATGATTGGTCACTGAGCGGCACTTAACCTACTGACTATTAAGTATGTGAATTTCTTTCCTCCTATTGATTTCTACACCGGATTCACTGAGTTTGACTGCTTGTAACTGTGTTGAATAGACTACAATCCAGTGTCAATCTGGTTCTCTATTCTGGGTCGTGAATCCTGGATCTGATATAACGTGACTAGCCTCAGCATCGTAGTATACCCGAGAGAGATAAATATTTTAAACCATCCGTTATATCACAAATGAATCAAACAAAATTCCGTCGAATTGATAGTAAACAGAAGCACATAGAGTCCAAATAGTACTAGAATAAAAACTACCACTAACTAGTTAAAACAAAATTGATTAAAAAAGAGACAAAAAAAGTAAATATACAAACTTACAGGGTCTTGTGAATACAATTTGGGCAAGAGATCGCCTTTTAGAAAAATCTTGATCTATATTTGAGAATAATTTAGAAAGTAAAAATATTGACTACGTCATCAAGATTGAAGTGAATTGGCAAAAAACTATATTTAGTAATATATTATTTATAGTAGTATAGACAATTATGCGTGAAAAAATTCTGGTCCTAGTGCATTGATCATAAGTTCTGTATAATTGAATAAACTTTGCATTCGAAATGAGTGGTTAGTAGAAGATTCAACTGGTTGAGAAATAACACACTGTCAGTGAAAGACAGAAAATACTAAGTAGAGGTCCGTGCATTATACATCTGTTCCGCACTAACTCGAAAGAGAAAACATGAGTGAAATGATATATATATATATATATATATATATATATATATATATATATATATATATATGTATATCATTTTCAGGAAGACAGAAAAGGACTGTTTTAAATTACTAAGTTAATTAGAAGGTGAAACAACAAAAAAGCCAGCTGAAAATCAGTAGCATAGTTTTAACCAAACTATTTATTAACTTCACGATAGAGTTTACAGTCGTTTACCATTTAAGTTGAATGAAACAGAAGGACTTTTTGAGTGAATGAATGATTTGTAGAGATGAATAAAATACCGATCAGCTAGTGTGATAAAATGATACGATATGGCCGAGTGATAAGTCTTCATCAAACTAATGTATTGATGTAAGTCTCTCAATGGATCAGCCCCCCTGAATGCCCTGGTACGGCCGAGAGTGGGGAGAGTCCGCTCTCCCTCTCGAAATACTCTCACACGGCCACGCGTATACAGCCTCTGCCAGGGAAGTCCTACTCATTGCCTTCTCGTGGCGGGGGTGTTGTTTACGAAAATGAGAGGACGAAAAGCGAATGTCCGGCGCTTTAACCGGATTCCAAATCAATGGTGCACATGGGCTCCAGTATCCTGCGGGAACGAATGGCGTATGAACCAATCGTTGGTCACCGGCTACCATGGGACTGCATCTCCTTACGATGCTCCACTGCCTTGTGGGTTAGACCTTTAGGTCAAAGGCTCGGGGAGTGGCCCCCTAAGATAACCACCTGCTTCGGTTTGGGCACCCGGGCAGTATCACAGCCCACACACAAATTGATGAACTCTTTATGCCTATGGAAATTACCTTTCTCGCTTTGAAAAACAAACAATTGATTCAGATTATTATCATTACAATTATTGTCATTATTAATACTATTATTACTATTATTGTCATTATTATTATTATTATTATTATTATTTTCCACATTATTCACCCTCTTTTATACTTATACAGCGGCTCGTCTTTGGTGGAAATTCGACTGTATCTAAACGTTCTCGAGTCACTGTCCGGTTGAAAATTGTATGTTACCACCGAATACGAGGACTGAAGCAGATTTTCTGAAACCACGTGCACCATTCAAACTGGCTGCCTTCAACGTTCGCACATTTATGCAGGTCGGACAACAGATAGGGCTGGCTATGTCTTTGGAAAGTCTTAATATCGATGTGTGTTGTCTATCCGAGACCCGTATTCAAGACTCTGGCGAAGTACTACAAATTCGATCTCCATCTGTCGCTTCGAAAAGCTTGTTTTACGTGCGCTTATCCGGGGACCCTGTGGCATCTTCGTCTGGTCTTGCTGGCGTTGGTGTCGCACTAAGCGCTAGAGCTGAGGCAGCACTAGTCGATTGGATCCCCATTAACAGTCGGTTATGTGCTGTTAGATTAGAAAGTTCCATCAAAGTGAGAAGAAATCGGCGTGAGAAACGATGTCTTTTCGTCATCTCCGCCTATGCCCCGACAGATTGCAGCCCGGATGCAATCAAGGATGAGTTTTACCACCAGTTATCAGTTCTTCTCCAGAAAGTGCGTTCGACAGATATTGTAGTACTAGCCGGAGACTTGAATGCTCAGGTCGGGCGTCTAGGCACAGAAGAGAGTCGTTTAGGTGGCCGATGGGGACTCGTTGGTCGCAGGTCAGATAACGGGGACCGTCTACTGCAACTTTGCACAGACCACAACCTGTTTCTGGCTAGCACTAACTTTCGGCACAGTCATCGCCGATGTGCCACCTGGCGTCCTCCCTCTGCATCTCAAGCCTGGACTCAGATTGATCACATCGCGATCAGCTACCGCTGGCGTGGTTGTGTACAAGACTGCCGCTCCTTTTGGAGTACCTATCTGGACTCTGACCATGCCTTGGTCTGCGCCAATCTTGCCTTACTTTTCAGTGGACAACGAAGTGACCGCCATCAACGGATTGATGTTAGCAAGCTGGTTGCAACTTCTGTTGCAAGTAAGTATCGAACCGAGCTAGCCTCTAGGCTAGCTACCACTCCACCGAAAAGTATAGATGAGCATTGGTTGCAATTGCATGACGCCATGAAAATGGCGGGAACAGTCAGTTGTGGGTTTGCGAAACGTCCCGCTTTAAGCACTGGGTTTCTTCTGGTTCCTTACAACTCATTGAAGCCCGTCGGTCTACTCCGGGTGACCGTGAGTTTGACCATAAACGAAGGATGTTACGTAAGGAAATTGGGCAAAGCTTGCGTAAGGACCGAGAAGCCTGGTGGTCGATGCGTGCTAATGAGCTGGAAGCAGCAGCTGCATCTGGTAACTACCGGAAGCTCTTCCAGCTCATCCGAGCCACTGGCAGCAAGAAGTCTGGTGTGAGTGAAACAATCTGCGAGGATGATGGGATGCCAATCACTAACATCCATCGACGTCTTGGACGATGGGCAGAATTTTTCGAAGGGCAGTTCAACTGGCCTGCTGCTCCGGCAACATCGGTCAGACTGTCCTGCCCTCCATGGCCGGTGACGACTGATCCACCAAATGAGGAGGAAGTCCGCAAGGAACTCCAACTCTTGAAGCGTTACAAATCACCTGGCCCAGATGACTTACCTCCGGCTCTTTTTAAAGATGGTGGTGACTTTTTGACTAAGGAATTGACGACGTTGTTTACAAAGGTTTGGGAACTAGAGTGTGTACCAACGTCATGGAATGAGTCGATAGTTGTCCCTATCTTTAAAAAGGGTTCACGTCGTTCTGTAACAACTATCGGGGGATAAGTTTACTTCCGATTGCGTCCAAGCTATTGGCTTCCGTCATTCTTCGTAGGTTGTTCAAAACCCGAGAAAGATTGACTCGCGAGGAGCAGGCTGGGTTTCGTTCTGGTCGAGGATGTATTGATCATATCTTCACCCTCCGCCAAATGTTAGAACACCGCCATACTTTTCAAAGGCCAACAATCGTAGTGTTTCTTGACATCAGGGCTGCCTTCGATTCGTTGGACAGGACTGTTCTCTGGGATTGTCTATTGAAGAAGGGTGTGCCTGAGAAGTTTATTAACATCCTAAAAGCCCTATATAAAAACACCTCAGGCAGAGTGAGGGCATACAACCACCTCTCTCCATTGTTCCATTCGAGCAGTGGGGTTAGGCAGGGTTGCCCAATCTCACCATTCCTCTTCAACTTTGCCATCGATGACATTCTGGAAACAGCTCTGATGAATGTAAGTAATGGTGGTGTGGATCTGTTGCCTGGAGAAAGACTTCTCGACCTTGAGTATGCGGACGATATTGTCTTACTGTGCGATAATGCCCAAGGCATGCAATCCGCACTTAATCAGTTGGCAATCAGTGTCCGTAGGTATGGTATGTGCTTTGCACCTTCGAAGTGCAAAGTACTTCTACAAGACTGGCAGGATTCTAATCCTGTACTCACCCTGGATGGTGAGCAGATAGACGTAGTTGAGAAGTTCGTGTATCTGGGTAGCTGCATAAGTGCTGGTGGGGGTGTGAGTGATGAGATCAATGCACGAATAGTGAAAGCCAGAGCGGCTTATGCCAATCTGGGCCACCTTTGGCGCCTTCGTGATGTTAGTCTGGCTGTAAAAGGTCGGATCTACAACGCGTCGGTGAGAGCAGTTTTGCTCTATGCTTGTGAAACCTGGCCTCTCCGAGTTGAGGACGTTAGACGACTCTCTGTGTTCGATCATCGCTGTCTCCGAAGGATTGCTGACATTCAGTGGCAACACCATGTCAGTAATGCAGAGGTTCGGCATCGTGTGTTCGGGCACAGAGATGATAATTCAATTGGTGTCACCATCTTGAAACACCGACTTCGGTGGCTTGGACATGTTCTCCGAATGTCGTCCCAGAGAATTCCACGTCGTGCATTATTTGCCGACTCTGGGACTGGTTGGAAGAAGCGGAGAGGTGGTCAGTGCATGACATGGTGTCGTGGCATGAAAGAAAGCTGCAAAGGACTGGCTTGTGTTGGTCCTTCACGACTCCCTGGTTGGGGTCCGAGAGATGGTGCTACACAGTGGCTAGAGACGTTATCAGATATGGCTCAGAATAGAAGCCAGTGGCGATCCTGCTGTAACCTTCTTTTACTTTCTTCATAAAAAGTGGTTGTGTCTCCTTTACCTGAAAGATTTCTTCTGATTGTACCTTTTCGTTCCGTCGTTACTACCACACTACCTTACTCCAATCTCTTCGTCATTGTTCTCTTTTTCTTTTGCGCTCCTTAGTTTTTTTTTTCTACTTCTCTCCGAATTCTCATTGTTTTGTGTGGCGCATATATATTGGCGCTCTCTTGTACCAATATTCATGTGTTCAAATAAATAAATAAATACAATGGATGAATTTCAAAGAAAAGATCATTAGTTAAAAGAATAGGATTTCTATCCAAAAACATAACATAAGATATATACATATATAGTCCATATGGGGTTGTAGAGTTCTGTTGAGCAGCCATGGCTAGTGCAGTTGAACCGTGTCCGGTGTGAGACAGTTACCCACCGAAGACAATACAACATGGTGACATAATGTCACAGATTGATTAAAGATAGCCATTAACACCGTTGGATGCCGAATCAGTTGTCTAGAAGTCAAAAGTTCACACGCAGGATCGAAGATACTGAGTTCAATTTTCGTGTGTGGGGTCATGAATGCGCACAGCTGAGGAGTGCCATACTTGAACGTAACGGCTGTCCAGTGCTTCCAGGTTTTCAATAATGGTCTGAGATCGGTTCATGATTTCAATGAAATATATATAATGCTAAGCTAAAATTAATGTGATTAGTTATCATAAACCATTGTAGGATATCAGAATTGTAGATCATTCGCTTACCAACAATGATCTAACAGTTACAGTTTATTCTGATACACTGTATCCTTTACAGTACGTCATTCGTCAAGGAAAAATGATAATAAAAGGATTTTTATTGAAGTATTCATATGACGTATTAAATAAGTATCACAGTTGGGAAGCTGTTCAAGTGAATGCTATTTATCATACAGAACCAAATGTAGTTACTGTAATGTTAGATAAAAGTTTCGGATAATCAGTGTGGCCATAACTTTATTGTTTATAAGTATTACAATCAATCCAACCTAGTAGCCGAATTGAGGTTCGTGTACTCTAATTTGCATGTGGGGGATAAAGGCATTAATTGGGTGTCAAAGGTAGAATGGGATCTGAGGCAGTAATTCAGTAGTTGAAGGTCTAGCAAGCAAAGGCGCTCACAGAACTATATGGTGATGTAAATTTTCTAATCCATCAGTTAATCAGAGAAATGAATACGCCTATTCAATTCGTACTTAGACAAGCGAAAATAAGGAGTCGTAAAGGAGAAATGAGAAAAACAGCAACCATTCAAATGTAGATGAAAAAAATAGCGAGATTTTTATTCTACAATCAAGGTAAAATTTTGGAGATTAAAATTATATATAAAATTACCTCATTAATTAATTGATGCATAATTATTTTTGGAACCATATCACGTTGTGTTTTAGTAACGATTTTCATGTAGGAGTCAACTAAATTACGTATAATTTCTACTTGTCTTTCAAGTTTAGGATCAGTCGGTATTTTATTCGTATCACCATCATCAGTCTGTGGCACAAAAAGAATATTTAAAAAATATACACATACTTAGATGATAAGATTCACAACAGTATTATTATTATTAGGCAGTAGGAACGTTGATCCACTGAGTTTATTGAACAATTATACACCTTTTTAGTCAAGTATGAAACCATTTACTATGAAAATAACAAAGAAATAACTTTACCATTTAATTCATTCTAACTATACATTCTATATGAATTAGTTTAGGAGTGAACTTTGAGAACATGAAATAATTAGTCACAATGTATTTGTGAAACATAAGAACTACCATCAAATGTAGTTTACATAGACAGTTATATCTCCTTCGATACTGCCTAAAAATATATCTCCCTCTGTTACTGAGCTTGTACAGACATTAGATGTTTCATTAATGTTGTATTTAGTAAACTCTCCTTTCAGTTTTATGTTATCTCTCGTTATTCGCATTTCTTATCCTCATTACGTCATTAACTTCTCCATCGTAAGAATGTTTACAGGATAGTTAATTAGATTAAATAAAACAAATCAAAAGCAGTTGATCGTAAAACAATCAAGCATATACATGACCACAGATCTATCGTAATATTATTTGTTCCTATTCCATGCTCTCGGTTTTCATGGTCTTCTCTCAAGTTGTATTTAACAATATTTGATTAGGTGGATAATCTGAACAACTACAAACCCTTCCCATTATTAGTAAGTATTACCATTCAAAGTTGAGATTAGACGATTTCACATGTTTTATATAATTTGTGTGGAAAATTAGGGCAGTAGTACCAACCACTATTACCTAATGAGTACTGTTTAAATACCACTATCTAAAACTTCAGTTGATCCATTTGTTGTTCTATTTCATCGTGATAGAGAAGCTCTACAAACCGGCACAACTATGTATATATTTATTATGGCATTGTTTAGAACGTCTTAAAAGTGCATATATGAAACATTACTAGAAATAAAACCAGAATTTTTGTAGTCAGTATATTTTAGGATGAAACTTTGAAAAAAAAACTGATAACCACGAAATAACTCGATAGTAACGTTTTTCAGCATGAGACCAAGTAGTATTGGATTCTTAACCAATTATCCATGATGAAGCAGGTAGTTCACAGTTTTGGAAAGTTGCATAAGTAAACTAATGATGGTGTAAAGAATAATTACAGTTCCATCCCCATAATTCTCATCTTCTTGTTCAAAGATTAAATATCACTTGAATTATAATTGAAAAACATAAAATACTTCGGAGCTGCCTAGATATCATCCAATAAGTTATGTATAGGATACATTACCAAGTCTATACAATATAGAACCCAAGATTCTGCACCTATTTCCTGTGATCACAATAGCTATAGGATGCATTGTCTTAAACAGCATTCACTTTATCGAATTTAATGAAGTCAGTATTCTATACTTTACTATCCTCTCAATAGTCATTTGATAGAAATTAAAATACAGTTTTTATAGTTATAATAACAAAGCACATATCACGTACACACACATCTAGGAACATAAAAAGTAATCACGAGGCCTATGTTATGCTTAGTTGATGTACATTCAACCATGCATATACACATAAATCATATGACTTGAGATTAAGGGCTATGAGAATAAAGTTTTTCTAACAAAAATTTTAAAATTGAAGAGTACAATATGATGCCATGGTACTACTTGATCATATAAAATGACGCTTTAACTAAATCAATGAACGAAGTTAATTTACTAAAAATAGCTAAATAAATAAGTTTACAAAAGAAAAGAAAACAGAATAAGATTAATTGGTGTTAGGTGATTTATTATTAGTAGTATGAAAGACGAGATTAGTTCATTGCCTCCTTGTTCTTCTGTCATTCATTACCGACCAATAGTCGACTAGAATCAACATTGTATTGTATGGTAACGTAAAAAGTCTATTGCATAATTAATCAATAAGGATAACAAGAGTTTCGTAAAGAAATTGTTCATTTGCAATGATGTGATCTACTACAGTTGTACAACCGAATTGATAGTTATTTTTTTTAAACAATAGTCTGTAATAAAACAGATAAGTGTTCAGTTATTGATACGGTTGCCAAAAACTAAATGGAAATACTTTCAAGTATTTAATGAAAGTTACATAATAATTGAGAATAACATTTATATGTGAAATGTGAAAGATAATTGTTCACTTGACCAATATAAAGGAGAAAAGTGCACATATCAAAACAACTTACAAAATTAACGAAGGAATGAACTGATAGAAAAACAACCAATTAAATATATCACTTATGAAAACAGAGACTAGAGGATGAACTGAAGAATCGCTAGTCTCAACTATAAATAGTTTCCTTTTGAGTAAGTTTGAATGTAGGTAACATCACGTCATCCATTCCAACAACTTAAGTTCTTTGTGTGAATATCAACGACGGAACATTGTATACATGTCTGTTGAACAACATATACACAAACGTTTCCAAAACAATGGCTAAAGGATTAAAATAAACGGCAGAATACGAGACGAGACATAAAAACATATAATCCTTGATCACTTACCTGTTCGTCTGGTTTTCCAGATGGATCATGAAACACTCCAGCACGAACTAAAGCAGCTTTCCAAGCTTCAACCGCTTCTTCTGTATCTGCAGATAAATCTAAAGTTTTGTGATCTTTGTACAAATTAACTTTAGGATCTGGATGATGAAGGACAAACGTTGGTCGTTTTGAAAAGAATCCTGTATCACCGCTACGTTGTTTTAATCCATCTAAAGGAAGAACAAATCGTCTCTCACGTTCCTAGTAGAAAAAAAAGCGAATTCCATAATATTTTCATACGGGATTTTGAACAATAATTCTCTGATAAACTTTATACTACTTTATTATTTGATGGAAAGTATACAGATTAGATATAAGAAACATTATTTTACATTTTCAAATCAGTCATTCGTATATCGTCGTTAAAAGCTGAACATTAATTTAACGGAATGAATGAAAATATGTGCGTTCAAAGAACTAGTTTCAAAATATTGCATCAAAATTCAGATTATTAATAATAATATTATCCTCTCTTAGCTATTTTATATAACATAAGCCTATTTAGTGGAAACACAGCTTTATAAACGTTTCTTAAAGAGCCAAGTAAGAAAACAGTGTGCTTAGGCATATAATTCTCCTACCTAATGTCTCCCTTATAAAGAAAGGTTCATTTTTCCCTTTATTGACTCTCATCGAGGACTGATAAAAAAATGTTCACAGATGAATAATTGTCATGCTGCATCACGGATTGATTGAAGTTAGATTTGTATTTAAAGACGCCGAAATAGTGGTCCGAATGGTTAAGTATTCAATGCGAAACCTGAAAGTTCTGTAATTGATCCCTCGTATGGTTATCATCATTTTTTCTTAGCAAAATACTGAAAAATATTCTATTTAATCCAATCAAGTACAAGGTTAACACATTTTACAAGTGCCTAGATATGTGACAATGAATTAATATCTACAGTAAATTTTTTATTAAAAATTAATTTAACAAAAGAAAACACAATACACACTAAGATAGTAGACAAATAAGGTGCATTATTTTTTTTTACTAACTAGGCATCAATTAACCATGAACACACACATACTGAATAGATAGCATCCTACAAGAATATCAAGATGAGTATGTGAGTAAATTTTTGTTGAGATAAAAAACAATGTTTGACCTTGTTCATCATATGTTTTAATCTTATTTAAACAATCGATTGATGAGAAATTCAGTAAGAAAAAAAGTGTGTTAGATCCAGCATGAGATCATAAACTAAATATTGTGCTTAATAAAATAAAAGAATGAAATTAATAAAAGGTGTAGATGAAAAGAGAACATAATACTGATAATAATAGTAATAATAATAATAATAATAGATTAGTGTGTTAACACAAAAAGGAATTTTGATGCTGTATATACTTTCACAAATACGACACATATTTTCGTTAATGTACTTGTAAAAAAAACAACTGTCAATAAATAAAACAACGGAGATTTAATTGTCTCTCTATTTTGTTTTCTTTCAAGGGATTCAAGTATTTAAAAGTATAATTTAATAAGGTACATGAAAGTCAGAAGAGTTTGCAATCACAAAAATGATTAAGACATTATAATATTATATTGATTGTCAACATTGGATCAACAGTACAGTTCGTAAATAATAACCTATATATATATTATTCGCATCAATTTATGTTGACACAGTAAGATGAAATAATCGAAGATAAATCTTAAAGTTACATAAATATACGCAATATCATTCGAGAATACACTTTAGTGTTGGATAATTGAAAGTAGTAAATGGGATTTGATAAAATTAGATTTAATGTTTTCTATATGAATTAATAAGTTAACGAAAATATACGTTTTTAACAATCGGTCATTTTATATTTTGCTATTCAATTATTTGGAGCGGGCTATATATCAGTAATTTGGCCAACAAGATTACGAGTCATTAGAATATTTGTCACATCGATTGAGACACTTGAATGAAAATATATCACCTTTAATGTCATGTCCCAACCATTTATTTGGAGCGCTGGTTTAATGATGATAGTACTCATTTTACAACTGGCAGACTGTAAATATAAACATCACCTCATTTGTTTCAGCTTCATTAAATAACTAAGACTACCTGTCATAGAAAACAATTAAATCGAGCACGTGGAACTAATTACCTTGAAAAATTTCATTCTCAATATATCAAATGACTGGTTAGAATGTTACATAATCTTAGTGCATTAGGCTTAAAAAAAATAATAATAACTGAGACAAGAATTCACTAAACTCTTCCGATCAATGAAAACACATATATATGTTAAAATTGATAGAATATTGGTAAACATTTCGTGAATTTTATTTAAAAGTTTCACATTATATTACTGAACCCATAGATAATATTGATTCGATAATCTCAGCTGTTACTACTAGAAAAGCAATTAATGTGACGTAGAACATTTGCTCTGTAAAATTATTGAAACAGCAACGTTTCCTTTCCATAGAATGGATGAATAATAACTAGCAGTGTAATCTGGTATGTGCATTTCATCCTATTGGGTGCAACAGCAATTGAGTAGTGATATTCAAACAGAGATTGAAAGACAGCGTTTAGCTTTCATTTCAAACGTTGACACATAATCTAATGAGTTCAGATGGGTAAGGGTTTAAATTAGTCTGTTGTTGATATTCAGAAGTGAATTTCAACTGGTTTTCTCGGCACATGTGTATCCTGTATAGATTATCATGATATAGCCATTTTATTGCATTTTTCCCACAATAATGTTTCCTTTCAAAAGATTTTGATTAGCTATAAAGTCGTGATAATTTACATTCATGAGATATACCCTAACTGATAATTAATACTATAGCTATAAGCCACAATTCACCTACATAATCACAACTTTATGGAATTTTATAGGTTTTCTGAAATATATGCATGATAAAGAGAAAGTTCATGATCGATTTTTTTAGGAATCCATTTTAAGTTAGACAATATTTCACAAAACGGTTGAGCTGCAGCAAGTAACAACATCCATGGTCATTCATGTCTACGTCTTCATAATAATAAAATCACTATTTAAAAATAATAACTGTCAATAACTGTGAAAATAATTTACTGTCTGAGAAATATATAATCAACAATTCCAAAAATGTAGACATATTGACTGACATAAAAACAAGTCACAGAGAGAGAGAGAGAGATAAAAATTGATTATCGGAACGACGATACGAATTGAAGCAGTCTTCGATGTATTCACACATTATTTGTTACCTAATGTCAAGAAATAGGATAGTTGAGTTTAAACATTTTATATTGTGAAACTCTTAATTCATGGATAATCTAATTTTCTGGGTATTATTATAAAAAATTCGGTTTTTGTTTTTAAACTGAGCTATTTCAAAACTATTTGATAAATATGTGCTTAATATAAGATGAAACTCACAAATGTACCAAAATCAGATTATTAGTTTCAATCACTACTTATTAGTCAATAGTACATGAAAAGTGTTGACGACATTCTGTCCTAGTATACTTATTTCATGACTACGAGTTTGAAAGTCTTTCTAATTGATTTATCTACTAGTTAGTTTACTGACAATCAACAATCCTCATACGAAAATTCTATATATGCGGATCCTTGACTAATTGATTAAATTTTTTGTCAAGTTAACTTCATCCTGAGTAATTTCTATTACTAGATCATCACATATATCAATAAGATTGAAAGTAAATGAATGGCATTTTTAAGCAAAGCATCATATTGGTTTGCAGTGAAATCAAGATGTACGTTACGTTCCATTTGAGACTCATCAGCTGAGTGTACCAGTATTGTAATACTAATGTTCTCATTAAAACTTGAACACATTACCTTTTGATTCAAACGCCCAATGCATTGACCATGGAGCTACTGAGTATAGATGGCTCCTGGCTTGTGGAATCAAGATGATTTTCATTTCATCTGTAAGGGTTTGTATCATCCAGTTCTTGATGTAAAGTGTTGGGAACGCTTCGAAAAGCACGATTAAGCTCCCTGAGGTACTAAAGGAGCCGAAGAGATTCCATCCAACCAGAACCTGATCGAGCCTTCTAGAATGTCAACGTGGCATGCTATGAATCGACAATACCACAACTTGCCTTGAGGATTGGCTGAATTATAATGATATTACAGTCAATACTAGTAACTATGAATACCCATGTTTTTTTGTACATTTTTTATTCATATCCAATAACCAATTCCCTTGCTTTTTCCATCTTCTGATTTACGATTGAGGGGTTCTAGGCGTTCGACTGTCGTTAGTTGTATATCGTATTCTACCGTAATCAAGTAGAGGACGTAGGGGACCGGAATTAATTAGTAATAGTTTATTTTTGATTGGTGAAGAAATACATAATTTAAAGACACTTCTCATTCGGAAAAAGTATCAGCTTGAAAGCCACAGAACACGAAAGGACAACTGTCTCAGATCACAGAATATAGGATACTTTAGTAAACCGCATCTATGGCTCAATGCGGGTATGAAGACGGGACGTTTGGTTGGAGTACTCGTTCCGAAATTCGCAGTTGGTGCTACTTTGTGATGAAAATTACTTTCGTAACCACGCAAACTGAAATCTTCAAATCATTTAACATAATCAATCTTTAATTACCAAAAAATTGTGAAGTAAAAACCATCAAGGCAGAATAGAATGAAAACAATTAGTAACTTTTTCAAATAGTTATTAGAAAGACTATCGCATGAAATGAAATAGTTTACGACGAAAAATACTAATCAACATATGCTATACTTATCAAAACAATTCTTTCCATTTTAAGTCGGGATAGAAAAACTGAACCTCTCAATTTTCTAGTTTATCTTCAAATAAAAATAGTAACAATTGTAATAGTAACAGGATGTGTCAACCAGTCAAAAAATTAATACATGCTGAATGGATGTACATATTATGCAAATTTATGTACATATTTCTCAGCATAAATAACTGGCGAAAAAACAAAACAAATCTAAAAACAATAATTCTGAAGTAAAACAAAACAGAAAAATAAAACAACCAACATAAATATAAATAAGTAAAAACAGAAGTATCACCAATCATTTTCAAATTGATATATAGTGGTCCAAGTCTTTACCTTGCTGACATTACGAACTGTGACTGATCAGTCACTTTTGATATTTGTACACCTTTCTAAGCGGATCGGCTCGACATTGTCATTTAGTCACAAGTATTTAAGTTGAACAGTAAGTATATGGAGTCAGACGCTTAGTGGATAATGCGTTAGGAGTTCGAAGTGAATGGTATTAGGTTTTAGTCCCTGTGTGAATGCTAAGGATGCGATACTGACGAGTCCCTACTAGGACAGGAGCTACATCCTAGGTTTCACTGCTACTCGCTACTCATCTTTACTTAACTATCGGTAAATGTTAAATAAGTAAACGAGAGTAAAGAATGAACTAAAAAATAGGGTGGGCAGATAAATGAAAAGGTAGAAGAGCATCACTTACTTCATCATCTTTGTACCAAGTCAATGTATCTGTAGTTAATACGAACCAACAATAACGACTACCACCACGCAATAGACTTGGATTGATCAAATTAAGCCACCCTTTACAGATTACCTAAAACAAAATAAAAAATAACAAAAAGGATGGATAAGTGGTACATAGGCATGATTCTATGAAATTAAATACAGTTGTACAGAATATAATATCGAAATAGCGTCAAGAATACAATAACTTGTTCGAAATAAAATGAAATACCGGTTAAATAATAGGGAAACGGACTGCTGCGAAATTGTAGAAGTAGAAGAGTAAAACGTCATATAATCAAGAGGTATGTACACAACGACAGTATTTAATAAAATATACTGTCAAGTTACAAAAAGAAATACAGCCAAATCTTTTTTGCAGCCAAAAGGATTCGTTTTTCACAAAGAATGTAGTAAAAAACTACATTTATTTTGAGTGATATTGTCTCAGGCCACTGAGTTGTTCCATCTTAAACAACTCAACCAGGGAGTTGTGATACGTGGACAGATTCCAATCTCATAGCTCTATCCTTCATAGTACGTTGTACACCATAAACCGGCCAACTTATTAAATTTTCCACGGAATTATGGTATTGCGAAATGATGTGTAGTGCGGAAACAGAGGGAATAAAATTCCTAGAACTTGGTCAAGCAAACGAAATTGGTATTTCAAGATGATTAACTGGATTATGGCTACTAAGCTAGAACACAGTGCAGAACCTGGTCACTACCAATAGTCAGTTCACTAGGAATGAAAATGAATAAACTTATGTACAAAGAAGGCCATTGCAATCCACCAGTTGAGCCTTACCTTTGAGTACAAAAACAGTGTGTTTAGTCCTTCACTCTACTATAGTCTTAAGTTCCGTTTTTGTTTTCATTTTTATTTCATTATTTCTACTCTTTCCCAATTACATTCACAAGTCTCAATTATTTTCGTAATAGCTGTCAAATGAAAAATTATCTTCATCTTACCACTTTTTCACTGGCCGATTATTGCGTAACTTCATTATCTGATTTCTAAGTCTTGACAACATACCATTTCAAGTTTTGTTAATACTTAGCACTATTCTGTCTTACTATAGAACATTATTTTAGCAAATAAAATAAACTACAAATACGATTTTACAGCTTAAGTTGAGAGGAAAATATTCTTCGTTGAATTGCCTTTTTTCTTCAGTGGCATGGTACTGTCGCTCAATGCCAGTAATATTCCAGAGATAATGGTTGTGTTTGGAAATAGTAAGCTCGGGAAGTCCAGGTTTTATAAGCACAACGAAAAAATGCTCCCATCGATAAGTTGTAATTTCGACCTTCTAGAAATAAACTAAAATGATCAAAACGCAGAATGGAGTCCATAACACTAGGACTAACACGGCTACTTTTGATTATTTTCAGGGGTAAGTGGCGGCAACAGAATACTGTTAATCAGACGAAAGTACTTCGCGTTTCTAAGGTCAACACCAAATACCATACTTAGAAACTAACTGCAAATTGATTAAGTGATATTCAAGCAGTATACATTATCACCAAACAATAAGACAATGTCATCCGCGTATTCGATAGAGAAAAATCATTCTCCAGGAAAATGATAGCATCGATCAACCAATATATTATAAAACTCAAAGACGCATCCTTATTCAACTAATAACATCAAAACGCAGTGACATTAAAAAAATCAAGAGTGGTCTTACAGACAGAAAACACAAGCGTTGTCGGATTTAAAACCGTTTAGGAGTGTTTTAGCATATAGTGGAGGGTAAAAAAATGGTCAATACACCCACGACGTAAACAATTTTCACACTCATTGTGACTCAATCTTTCACCAGTTTTGTACAATCTGTGACATATGGCGGAAACATAATTTGTTCACAATGTCACACTTTGATGAAGAAGTTTAATATACACTAAACTTGTTTCAACCACATATGATATTGTATGCAAGAAATACGACCTAGTTACTGATAATGGAATATGTAGAGGAGAATCCAAACAAGATATTTAATAAGTCAAGTGTATAAACAAGTGATTTAAAATTTAACCATATTCGTAACTGGTATGAACACGTTTCGATAAGCAACCGATCAACGTGATATTTTTCAAAGTTGAAAAAACTATGTTTTTAAACATCCACCTACAGTTGGTTGCTAATAATTGAAGTTATTATCTTTTATTGGTAGAATCAAATAGCAAAATTTTAATACTCTTTTAGTTCATAAATAATTTTAAGCATGAATAAAGAATCAGAACATTAGTGAGTAATGCCATAGTAATTGGAGCAATGGATAGTTGGGTTTCCATTGAAAGAGCAAAGCCCAAATTGATCGATATACCGATGCAACTTGAGTACAACAAAAGATATATGTGCTTTAATATTTTAAACAAAGCATTTTGCAACTAACTGCGAATTTGTCCATTCAGTATTTCCCCTATAAACAAGTGTGTAACTAATCAGCTATATATAACGCTTATATTATTTAAATTTGATAACTAAAGTTCAATTGCTTCACTTGTTCATAACATTTCTAGTGTAAACGTTCGAGAAAATTATCAGAAACAAATCTCTGTACTGTTACTGAAATAAGTTTAACTATCATTGCTTAATAATTAATGGAAACTATTCACATTAAAGTGTCAGTCGATTGGGTGAATCGCTTTTACACTTTCTTTGGACAATGTGATATATATATATATATATATATATATATATATATATATATATCATTCTTGAAGGATTGGATATAAAATGGACCTGACGTATTCTACAGAATAATAATGAAAAGTAATCAGGGGCCGATAGCAGAATATGAGATGGTAGTATTATTTGATATGAAAACAAAGATAACATATATCATATACAAACTACAGATTACTGTTAGTGCTATAAATTCATTAATACCACTTACTTGATTGCCAAGTTTACTTTTGGAACTATCATTTGCTCGTTGCTCAGCACTATGAAGAGTGGGAAGAAAAAAAAAGAAATAGACAGAAAATGATTAATTTAAAATAACTATCAAAATGAGGTTGAAGGAGTTGTCAAATTCTATTGACATCACGAACCCATATAAGTTAGACAGTTATTGAAAGCCTGGAAGCACCGGACGACCGTATAGCCCTAACACGGAACTCTTCAGTAGTGTGCATTCACAATCTCGCGACGGGTAATCTAATCTAGAGCCAGTTTCACGTATAAACTCAGTTCCTCTCTAGTGATGTAGAAGTCTGACTTTAATCAATTCATTTTATGACGCAACCATCTTAAATAGTTTATCGAGGAGTTGAAAGATATGCAAGTGAAATGTCAGCGATTAGCCCACACAAAGATTTTTAACTACTTCGTACACATCGCACATTGAGTAGTTATTCACATTAATGCATAGGCAAATCAGTAATCATGCACAGATCTGCGTACTACGGATTGAGCCACATCTTTCTGTGGGAAAGCTGATAACAGTACTTGGATTCTTAAATTGAAGCAGGGTTTAAACCTTCAAAAGTTTTACAAGATAAACCTGGCTACAAACACAACAAGTAAAAGTATAGGTGAAATACATTTGTAAATTGATTCCCCACAGAGAATGTGTGAAAAAACGTAATACAAACGATTTGTGTAAAATAAATTCGAGAAATCAATCATAAGAGATTTAAGATTTACATTTTACAATTTTTGTGCTTTTTTGTAACGCATGCAAGTTTTAGGTACGAATCTTGAATGTTATACGTGATCAACGGATATTGAGTTACGATATCAAAAACTGTGTATATGTAGAATCTAAATATTTAAGGATTAGTACGAAATATACCTCACTAACACTTCATTGGAATTAGCCGGTAGTATTCATCACAGATTCACTTCAGTTTGCGTACTACTCCAAAGCAGGGAGCACTGGATAGCTGTTTCGTCATGATATGGAACTCCGCAGTAGTGTTCACCCATGATACCTTGAGGACCAAACTCAAACCCCTCAGGTCTAAGGGTAAGTTATTAGCCATTAGGACTAGTACGTTATTGTTTGACAGTAAACATTTGCATCTTCACACGATTCGTGTTATAGCGCGACGGTCATTCAATGGGACTGGTGATGACTTATTTACTGTAAATATCCCTGAACTATACAGACAAGGGATTTTCACTGAGACATCAAGAAAGTCAATGGTAACGACACGATTATAGCCCTAATGAAGAGACTTTCTGAGGTCACGTGTACACACTACTAAGGAGTACATGACTACGACGAAATAGTTGTCTAGTACTCCTTGATTTTCAATGGTACCTCAATAGACGTCTATTTATGACGAATACCACTTATAAATTAAACCAACCTCCACAAAACCCCTTCATTGGTACGTTTTTTGGAAGCAAAGAGCAAATCAAATGCTAGTATCATGCTTATATACTCCGGAGTTAGGTTATTAAAGCATCCAACTTTTAAGCAGTGGGTTGCAGGTTCAAACTCATCACCAACGACTTAGGTTTGCATAACCAGATAACTCTGGGAAATGAAAAGTGCAGTTTAAACCACAGTCATTTATCCAGTCACTTGACAAGAAACATATTTATTTATAGTTAGAGTAACTGCAATTCATTTAAACATGCTTGAACGTAGACAGGGTAAGCAGCAAAATCATACTACACTAAATTGCTCATTTGTAGTGGATATATTCTAAAAAATAACCTGATAAATCGTTGTTTCAGAATTTAAAAAAAACATAACTGCACACAAGTGTGATTTTAAATGTACAACTGATATTATACAATGAAGTTTGATTCAAATGAAGTAATTATATTCTAATATGCAATGTATATGAAGATGAAAACATACTAAGAATAGACAGAAATTTACATTCTTTAGACAACAGGTCATTTGTTAGAAATTCAATTAATATATGCGAACTTCGTAAATACGTTATTTATTTAAAACGTAAATGGTCATATAATAGAACTACAATTTATTTGGTACGTTGTTAACACAATCGATGGTGTTATTTTTGTCGGTTATCTTGACTCTTTTCATTCTTTGAAAAATCTTATTTGCATATCCACGTATGAATCATCTGCGTAAACAAAATTACTTATTAATAGACTAATTTCATATAGTGTTACTTGACAGATTTAGTTTCAGGAGTAAAGAATTAAGTGAAAAGTTTGTATAACATTAAGATTTAAGACAACAGACATGAAATGATTCTATTGACTTAGATTCAATTGTTGGTTGTTACAGTTCGTTTTATTTCTAGTACAAATATTGTGCGGATCTATCGTGTGAATGTAGTGTATCAAATTAAACACACAACTAACCACGCCACGGCTTTTCATAATACAAATAAAGGTTAATTATTTAAGGTGACTGTTTAATTAATTCTTAACCACAAGTTGATCCAGGCCAAGTTTGAAACTTTATAATAGAAACTTCTACAGATTACACTACAGTTAACAGTTTCTAACTGTTAAACAGGACTAATATTAGCGGTTCATTTTAAATTAACCAAAATTATACAGAGTTATTATGATACAATTCTTAATGGATAGATGAAGAATGTAAAATACTTTAGTCACGTGTATGCACGATTTTTTAAGTTCTATACGTGACGGGACAAAATCGGCGGTAAACAGATATGATATGGGGATTACATAAATGTTAACAATTAATGAGATTATTTTTATGACAAACAATGAATAATAATATTGGGAGGTTGGATCTACTTTCGGTTTTCTAAACTACTGTTCATTAAGCGGACAGATAAACAGAGGAAACTGAAATAGGAATCACACAAATGCACCTATATTACATATATGGTCGATGAATTCAGACACGCCTGAAACCCATTAGCTTTATCTGACTTAACCATGTCCTGAGCTCTGGATTATATTGGAAGCTATGGTTTCGGAAACCACACTGGTCAAGATGATAATTGTATGACAATTGTGAGATAGTCCCTATTCTTTAGTATGTCCAGCAATCAACTTTCGATAAATCTCACAAATTATAAACACAGAAAAGACATCTGGCATCGAACCGCTCGATGCCTGTAATTCTATTTCTTATTCAGTTATTGAGAACTGACTTAATCTTTAAAAAAGATTGGAGTATGGTGTCCAATCATCATTTAGTCTGCTCATCAAAGTGAATCGCCCAATTTTCAAATGAAACACTGCTTGCCTGTAGACCTAGTCTCCTCAGAGACCCTAAGCAATAACTATTTCTCATCACTGTTGTTGTTTTATAACCTCGGTTAATTTCCACCACAACTCATAAGTTATTTAAGTAGTATCCACTTAGGTTACTTTGAAACCATATCATGTTCTGAATCGGACCGAGATCTATTTCCCACGATCTCCCAATTCATGAGGCAATCAGATTCGCTGATTTTTCATAGCTTTCTGGTGGAGACTGACCGACGAACGCTACTGATGCTTATACAAAAGATTTAAAACTAAAGGGTGGAGTTTAACTATATGCTTACGGATGAAAATATGGTTTATTCGATTCCCCTACTGAGTTAATGTCAGAGGTTCCTAAGTCAAACAGTACCCCCCCCTCTATTTACGAATTTAGTTTATCCTAAAAGCAGATAGTTAGAAACAGTTGTATGAGATGACCATTACCATAGTTCAGTTGTTGTAGAACATTGAGAACTTCACCATAGTGTTTTTTAAGTTGTCTTTACAACTTACTTAAACACTAATGTCATTAAACATAATAACTAAATCTGGAGGCCTAGCTTTTAGATCAGGAAGCATACACTAAATTTCGTCTTCATTTCACCTGAACCCCAGTTATAGCGGGAGCGTAACCAGATATTTTAAAAAGAAAATGCTGAATATTCCTATCCTTCTGAACTCTTACTGTCTCACCCAAGTGAACAACTTACAAGAGATATATGTTCAGTTCAAATATGTCCATTCTGGTTTTAAATTAAATGATCTACCTACATTCGCAATACTACGAGTTGATGTCAACTCTCCATACACCTTAGGAATGAAGCACGATGGCTTTCCACAATGGCTAAATGATGTCAAGTGAATAACCTCTATTGTCCTGTAGGTGGGTTTTAAAAGTACATATGATTCGGTATTCGGAAGTTTGGCTATTGAAGCGTAATGTCAAATTTAGGGCACGGTTTGACGCCGCAAGCTCGAACATATATTTTGGATAAAGTATTAAAGAGACAAAGAATAACATTTCGTAAGACCGAACTGATAGGATTCATTGCCCACATGGGAGAGGATACAGCCAGATAGACATGATAAAAGGACATCTACATGTTAGTTGTGAATAGGATGAAGTCAAATGTAGCGTGAGGCAGGTGAACGATCGAAACATCTCGGCTACATATACTGTGGTAGGATATTTATACTGCACAAAACTGGAAAATTACCATATTAATATAGATAGTTTATCAACAGAGAGGGTTAGACACAAAGCATAGGAAATCACCGTTCGGGGTCAATTACAGTCAGGTCTTGTGAACATTTGTTGTAGTGTTGGCTCTTTACATTTTGAATTATTTCACAAAGGTAAAAAAAATCCGTTGAACATAAAATTTCCCGATTTTAGTGTCAAGATTCCTAATCTCTTTGTTTAAAACTATTCACGTCTAAAATGACAAACATTTAGAAGAGATTTTAATGGATGTGTGAACAATCATGAGTCAACGGTAAATAATACAAAAACCTCAATACTATAAACATAGTACAACAGGAGATCTCTTACTACTAGCGAATTCCTCATCAAAAGAAACTTTGTGACTATTTCAAAGAGTAAAATATGAGAATTCGACCTTAACCAATGTAATCTAGAACAAACATTTTATCTCAAATCCTTGCTTATTAACTAAATACTTAGATTTTCATTTCTCTAAACGTGAGTTTGTAGATTGTGATTAGAGGGTAGATTAGTAAATTGTTCTAAATACCATGATGTTATTGATAAAATAACCATATATTGTTTAATACCTTCTAGTTGTTGAATACATTTTTATTATGACTTCTAAATAAATAAAGAATTATCTCACAAATTAATTACTTTTGGAAACCGATAAAATCTTCATGATTTGTATTCATATAAGCTAATTGAAAATCAATTAATGTTTGAATTTGTTCTTTAGTAGCTATTTCTAATTCACGAACCCGCATATTGACAACACGTTCAATTTCTTCACGAAGCCGTGGAAATCGTCCTACCTATGATGAAAGCAAAATTTAAAAATAGAGAAACAGAGAGAGAGAACGCGTGACAGAAAAATTATAATATAACATACTAAAGAGTAGATAAGAAAATATATTTTAAAAAAGTGAACAGATACATAGATAGTTACCAAAGGTAAGTAAAAGTTTAATTTCAGAGTTATTATGAGAAACAGAAACAAATTGCAACCATCTAAAAACAGACGTACATGCAGGCTGATACGTTTTTTTTAGAGGCGATAAGCTTTAAATGATACATCATAAGATAATATGGTAGTGTATGTATGAGTATCTATGTAGAAGGGGTTGGAATATTTTATCAACATAACTAATCAGATTTTCTTTTACTTAATTTTTCGCAATAAGATTAGATAGTAAAATGTGTGCACATATGAAGTATCTAATCATACAGATAACTAAGTAAAATGGTTAATTTACGTTAAAATCAAGTATGAATTCATTTATCAGATAAATACAAATCATGACAACAGATGTTTCAGACTTTAGATAATGCATACACCACAGGAAACAGTGATATTAGCAGGCTTAGTTTGCAGTAATCATAATAAATAATAGAAATGATCTATTTCTATACGGAGCAATTGGGGTGAACATTTAACTGATATATATATATATATATATATATATATATATATATATATATATATATATATATGATTTTATGATAATCAATATGTCATAATTTATCGTGTGTTAAAATAATCATCATGATTAAATAAATATTTCGGTGGTGCTTCGTTCTCTGAGCTGGATGGTTTCGTCGTGGAGCTTTTTATTGTTCTTCTGAACAATATCTTCACAAACTTCAAGTAAAAGTGAAGTATCCGAATTTCTCAACATGTGACTCACCTGTCGACCTCTTTCTTGACTAGTTAATCAGCTCAGCGAATGAAACTTCATCCAAATCATTCACTTGAGCTACAAATCTTCTCCACTATCTCACAAACAATAAATAACTGAAAGTTATTCAAAATAACCGAGTACTACTGGATGGTATTTTCCTTTTAAATCACATTCTCATCAGTAAATATACGTGTTAAAAAGACTCGAAACAATCATACTTAAGAAATGCCAAGTAGTTATTGCTGACTGTTGAATCATTTGTGAAAAATCCAACTAATGATATTGAAAATTTATTTTACTTGGAAAAACAAACACTTTGATTCGTGTTGTCATCATATTTTCATTGTTTTTAAATCACAACGATTTAGATACAAAACCAATGAGTTCGCATAGAAAGCATATATTTCTATGGAAGGACTAAGTATGAATGACAAATAAAATTGTATTGGTAGAGTGGAGATTATAATCAGTGTGAGTAGAACTTACATGAATATTACATAACAATCTAATGAACGTGACCTCAGTTTGTTTAAAAGTTATAAACAGTGATGTAATTGTCGTAGAATCTGAGAATTTTGTGTACGTGTTCGCTTTTATAAAAAAAGTGTTATTCATGACTGTACTAGTCAGTGAAAGACAACAGAATAGATTATTAAAATTTAAAAAAAGACACTTATTCAATGTCTTTTGAAATTTTAATAACTGATCGACTGGTTCAGTGAAAATTAGTGGTTGAATATGTAAACAGGTATTATTTTCACTTTGTTCAATTATTATTTCTCTATAAACTATTATCACATTGGAGTTTTATGATGACTTCAATTTCTCGAATTCATTTATGATATGCACAATCTGGAATGTACGATCACCTACACACATACACTTGGATGAACACAAATAACAAACACGTGATATATGAATTAAGCATAATGATTATAGAAAACATTCAATTTATTTCATGCAGATGATTGGTTATCTGTCACTATGCCTTCATCGTTAACACAGAGTGGTATATTTTCATATAAAAGTAACTGTATGTGGTCTTAAATTGGTGGTTGATTTATAAGAGAGGTAGAAAACCAATATACGCTTATAAAAAAGCTCACACGAATTAATGTGTGTTTATCCATACAAACTCTTTTATGCATGTGATAAAAGCTTGATATATTTTTGTCAAATGAAACATTTAATCCAATAAAATGAAAATCAGCCCTTAGAATACAATGATTACAACACATGTTCTAAAAACAATAATTATCAAGGGTTATCATGCGTAAATATGACATACTGCAAATAATTTCTTAAATATTAACAAAAAGATGAATCATATTTCTTCTACTGGACTTGATAAATCATTTGTTAAGCAACATCTAGTGTACAAATTGCAAAAGGCTTGTACATTTTTGTAAAGTAACTGTGTTTCTAGGATATAATTTATTTAAGTTCAAGTTTTCCCTGTTGTTTATCCTCAAGAACGAAGACAGAGGAATATCGAAAAAGTTAGGCTAGAACAAAATATAAATGTATAACCGTGTTGGGTGTGAAGCAGTTACCTACTGAAGACAATAGATGGTCGTGCGATATTACAGAAGTTAGATATTAACACTGTTGAATACTGGCTTAATAGTTCTAGAGGTTAAGTGTTCGCACGCAAATTCGTGGATGGGCACTGCTGAGGAGTACCATAGTATCACAAAACGGCTGTCTAGTGCTTCCAGGTTTTTAGTGGTGATCTAACATTGATCAGGTCATGGTTTCAATGAAATAAATTTGAATTAAGCAAAAATAAAAAACTGGGGGGAGAATAATGTAAGCTCACTATATTTCGCGGTTTCTCTTCAGCTACTTACAACCATATTCATATTAAAGTGTAAATTCGGAGCATACACTTCAATACGAATAGAGTTGAAAGCAGCTGAAGAGAAACTATAACATATGGTGGGTTTACATCATACTCCCCCAATTGTTGTCCTGGCCTAATTAAAGTTCATGAAGGGAAACAATTATCTGCAATTTTTATCAATGAGTTATTTTGTTAATCATTTCAATCTGTGCTGAATAGTGATTCAGACGGTACAGAAAACTTTGAATCCTGTCAGTATTTTTAGCAGACAGAACTTTGCTGTCCGTTCATTCTAGATGAGGTTACAGCTACTCATAAGCATAATAAAAATATATGATTACATACTTAAGTGGAGTAATTAGGATGAGGTTATCATGAACGAATGTCAATGAATGTGTAAAAGTAAGATTATTTAACAGGTAGACTTATTTCAAACAATTATTCTTTACCAGGGAAAATGGAGCTTTGAAACAGAATGAATACAGGTTTATTCTGCAAGATCTTCCTGTTTTTGTTTTGTACGAGCTCATCAAGAAGCATGAAATGTATGAAAAAGAATTGAGCAAAGAATGGGAACTTTCTTGAATATATTATCTACATATATTTCTATTCGTAACAATCCGATGGAGTATTAGAAAAAGACAAATAATTCATTTCAGAAAAACAGATAAGAACAACTTTCTCTACACTTTTGTATGTATCATGCTATAAAATATTAGTTTGGTAAACAAAAATAACTGGGTTAATTTGTATAAACAACAATAATGACAAGAAAAAGAAACTAATAATCTTACTAGACTGTAAACACAATCACATCTTGAGGACTAGCTGACATAAAAACTAAATGGTAAAACGAAGAAAGAATATCTGTTACATACAGATAAATATACAACAACAAATATTAGAATCGAAGTGAAACGAATAAAAAGTGGAAACGTACATACGTAATAGCGAGAGGATTACATGGCAATTGTGACGTAACATACAGATTAGATGACTGGATTAAAGTTGGTGAAGAAAAAAATTCAGGAAAGTGTTTTATGAAAAGATACTCATGTACACGAGTACGCATGCATATACATATTCATACATACATACATACATACATACATACATACATACATACATACATACACACATACTACACACGTGTAATATAAACACACAAGTATATACAGAAAAAGACATTAAGTCATCAACAACACTAATTTCATACTAACATTTGATGATATGTTGATAACTTATGATTCATAAAGTATTCCGTAAGCGAAACGTGTATAATCTGGTGATAAACGGATGAAAGAATAGTAAAGAGAATATCTAGACCAAACTGCTGTAGGATAGTTATATACATATAATATTTGACTTGATGGTAATGAAGTCAGTGTAGAAACGAGTAATTAAATGTTAATAGTAAAACAAAAAAGACAGCCACTTTTATTAAAAACGTTTCTTCACGCACTGGTATGATCCGAAGAGTAATGGAAACGTATAAATTAGAATTCAATGGTATCGTGAAAGTTATCTTCAGATTTAATCGTTTTTCACGAACTCGGGTAATTAGTTGCCATGCGGTGACTAAGTATTAGAATCGAGATAGATCTCTAGTTGTTCTACTGGGAAGCCAGTATCTGTAATGTTATGATTCAGTTGCTACTTATTGAATGACTTTCGATCTGTTCTATGAACTGACTACAGTTAAGAACGTGAACCGAAGGATTTCAAATTATGAGTCTAAAATATTGTGCTCCCAGTAAAAAATGATGTTCAACTGAAATGAGATAACGATGCAACTTACTGAGTACAGAATCGTGTACTCAGCTTTGAGTTACGCCTAACGTGTGAGAGCTGGTGGACACTAACCAATTCTTCAAACTGAAGAAGCAAGGGTATACAAACCTGCCACCTAGTGGTGGAAGTAGAACTACTAAACCACAGCTCCATAAATATATACAGTTGCGAAGTTTCCAAATGGGAGCAAATAAATATCTAGTACACCCTGAATTTTAATTGTTTTCTAGACTCATGCAAAATCCGTGACGAAAACTGTTTTGGAATTGAACAGACCTCCATGAACTAGCAAAACGAATTTCAACAAAAGACAAAAAAGTATCCGACAGATGAACGCAATTACTAAACATAATGATGATTTCCGGTAAAATGACTAGTCAACTACACGGGATGTTTTGTACTGAGGATGATACAACTGGGAAAAGGTATAAGAATCGTCTAAGTACAAATTCATGTTTCGGGTAACCTGTTATTTCTTTTTACAACACTGAAAGACAGAATATGGGTCTGTAGGAGACTTTTATAAACATTTTTCTTTCGGTATTGAAAAAGATGTTTATTGACTCGCTATTTCTGTAATCGGAAATTACTTTGTGCGAATTTTTCGCTGATGTGATTGCTCAAAAAGAAAATGTCTATTACTATGGACGACCTTAAAACCATTCTACAAATTCAGAGAACGCACAGTAATCCTAATCAAATGAGGCTTCTAGATGCACTTACAAGTTCTCATTTCATTCCACTTCAACCTATCAACCAGATACATATGTAAGCATCGCAAATCCCATTCGTGAATCCAATTATGATCCTGAATTTGGTATCATATTTGATTCCAAGTTCCATCATTTCAAAGACATATTCCGTGTCGACTGCTGAGATCTCGATGATGCAACTATGGTTTGTCTACTTTTTAGAAGACTTGGAGCACGTGAATATAATAAATCTGTGAATTTCATCTTGCCACAGCATCCTTTGTTTTCTGATAGTCCAAATATTTATCTAAAACCAACTGGCTGAAAGCCGAGTGTTTTACCTATTAAGTCACTACTTCTTGAACCATTTTACTATGCAAAAACATTTGATCAATAATTTTTTATTAATAGGATGCATTGCCAAATAATAATAACGGTATATCGAATCATTTAACACAAAAAAGCGATACTTTTAACCGTAAATATATCGTTTAGTTTCTTAACCTTGTATATCAAAAGTGCCATAACATAAATGTAGATGCAAACTGTGACAAGTGAAGAATAGACTAAATGCATAGTCTTATTCAAAAACAATAAAAGACTCAATCAAGACGTGGCATTAGTTCATAAAGTCAGTGATAACTGGATTGAGTCGTGTAATTACGTTCAGACTACTAGGTTGGGATCTACACCAGTATCATAACTATTGGTTAGAGACTTTGAATGTCATAGCTGAGAAACATTCGCAATGATACATGTACATGCACTCTTTGTCTTCCCTTAAATCATATGTTCCTTATTTATCAGAAAGAAAATTCTTAATTCTACGAATCCATATTGCCAAATTATATCCTACATGTTTAATCTTTTCTATAACCATTAATACTGTTTTTACATATGCTACTCAGGTATCTCGTTATATTGTAGACTGGCAATTTGAACCGATACATAAAAGTCCCAAGTTTTATTTTTTGTTTATTTAACTGAATGAATTAAAAACGTAAATAAAGAATAATACATCATACGAATTAGTTATTATGAAGAACATGTAAGATAAACAATGTAAATTGATTAAGTAAATAAATAAACATATACATATTGATTTGGATTTATTAGTGAACAAAGGCAAAAGATGGATATACCAATCGATAAGTGATGTATTGATTAATTATTTAATGAGATACATAACCCATTTAATATAAATTAACATAAGAATGAATGAGCAAATATTCAGTGTGTCTTTCATCTAGATCATATGACTGTTAAATATTTATACAGAAATCAAGCTGAGTAAACAAGTAGTTTCTCAGACTCCAATAATGTTCTTTTTCATAAGTGAGGGTACGGAATTAAAATTGAGAAGATTGAGAACATCAGAAGGATGTATTAACAATCAAATAAGAGTTGGTGAAAATTAAGTGTCAAAACATTGGAAAAATGATGGCTTATTATTATTATTATTATTATTATTATTATTATTATTATTATTATTATTCATGTCTAATACGAACCTTTAGGGCATATCCTTATGTACTATCAAAAAGAATTACCCACACGGTGTACATTCAGATGTCCAGTATGGATTTAATTACGAGTTCTACAGGCAAAGTGATGACATCGCTACGGGTTAACCACTCAACACTTTCTAGAGGACTGTTTCATGACCAATCTTAAGAACACGGTACTTAAAACAACGATTGGCAACTTTTACTTAAACCAAAGGTATATGGATGACACTTGATTATTTGTGATGAAAACAGTGACCTCAATGTCATTCTGGATAAATTCACTGGTTGGTATCAATCCATCAAATTTAGTTGCAATCAGAATCGAATTCCAAATCACAGTTCCTCGATGTCTTATGAAATAGAACACCAAACGGTAAAAGGAGGCACCAAATATCTATGCGCCACACTTCGACATTCGATTTGTATGAGGGCTGAAATACTGCTCGGGAGCCCAAACCACAGCAGAATTTTCATAGCTGAGTCCCATTAAACCGAAAGAGAAACTTGATTCAATGTTTATCATAAAAGACCAAACGAATAGGCTCAGAAGACACGATACACGATAGAGGAAATATCCAACCTACAACAGATATGCCTCAAAAACGCTTATATATCCAGGTTTGTTGAGCGAAACGTGAAACGAGAATTACAATTTGCAAGAACTCACACAGTTCCTAAGACAACTCTTCATGAATATTGGGTTCATCTTCAACCGAGGTACTACTGTAGAGATTTTGTAAAATCGTCCAGCGAAACCTTTGAGGGAAACTTTTTATGCTGGCTAGCTTCATACCGTCCTTTCCAACTGTCTCATCATTCACGGATATTTCAAGGACAAACTCTCGCATTGTTTATTTATACACTTAACTGTTCTTGTGGAGCACATTCCATTGGCCACACAATACAAACGCTCTTTGAATGCATCGCCAAACATTTTCTTCACTGAATTGTTTTTTAATTCTTTTTCAATGACACCGCAGGTTATTTTCATTGTTTGTTGGATAAACGTTTTACATAAGTAGGCAAATGATGCTGAACAGAGTACAACTATTGCTAACTTAATTACTTAGAGTTAAGTACCTTAATTATTGAGTAAAGAATATCCTCAGGATTGCGGGATGTGAACTTACTTAAACGACTTCATCTCTAAATACCGCTTCCATCATAAAAAGATTTCAAAAAATATTTTCAGTTTCCAATAAACGTCTCTTCACTACAACAAAAAATTATTGCTAGTACATCGTTGGGAACAATTACGAGGGTGATTTAAAAACCGAAGGATAATAACTACCCTACAAGAAATATATAAGCTGAAGAAATCCTAACAGAACAAACATTGGATACAGATTTGTGATTCGACATTCATTTTGAAGAGAAAGTCAGTATCAATGTACAGAAGTATATTTCGTTGAATTTGTGAATAACTTTACCATGTAAATGAAAATAAATTGAAATATTAGCTCTTCATTTTCTCGAAATTTCCCTACCACTTGGCAACGAGTTATTTTCTCATGTGCCAAATGAAAAAGTTGCCAAACTTCTAAGCCATTGTAAACACAAAAACTTGACAGTTAAAAACTGAACAGTATCATGGGAGACTGGAAACAATTACCTCATCTGTAGTAACGACAATCTAAATTTAAAGACCTACGTGGCCTAATCATTTGATTTTAAACTAAAAATAAACAAAAATTTAAGGTAAATATGGCTAATTTATTTTAAGGACTCCTATGCTCTTATTTGGGATTTTTTTTACATGGCAATTGCTTTCCATTTGTGTAAACACAAGCATATTTCCTTATTAAATATTTGAATAATAAAAAAACGTCGCATAAAATGGATAATTTATTTGTGCAATTAATCAATCGATTATATTTGCTCACCTTATCACTACATTGTTGCAAAACATCGGTCAATTTAGATACAACCATGTCAACGCATTTTAATGATGGAATTCGAAGTTTTTCAATCTGTTTTCGTACTGTAGCATCAAATGCCATATCCGGTGTAAACAATCCAGGCCTTTATTACATATATTGTCAAACAAACAATTAAGCACAAGTTACTGAATTGGCAACATAATAGCAAGACTAACACTAATACCAATAACAGTGGTAATAATAATAATGATAATTGAATAGCAAAAATAATTATAATTATCATAGTTTACCTGTTTCGAATATCAATAAATTTAACCCATCTCTATACAGCACATATATATGTATGTTAGATGAATGTTTACCATAATGTAGATAAACTAGTACACGACAATTCGCGTTACGTTCATATATAAAAGTATGAAAGTAACTTCACCTTTTGAATCAATTCCATGTTCAATACCAAACACAACAACTTGTCTAATACCTTAATTCCATTCAGGTTGAATTCGTATTCAACAATTAACGATGAATTACTTCAAACAGCTAACAGTGATAATTTAACTTTGTATCATTAAACATTAAACTTAGTTGGACTGTGACTAGAACATTTTAAAACTAGACTGTGAACACGAATGAATGACTAAGCATTACTGAATACTGAACTTGTCATTTCTAATTATGATGTTCTATGAAGTATAACTGAATCAGCTTAGATTTACGCATCACATGACAGTTTTCGTCAAGATTTCATTAGATAATCAGTATTTCCAACTTAGTTCAAATAACTCTTTAAAACTTTTATCTATTACTTCAGCCAAGATGGCGAATCATGGTGGTAATAGTACGTTGTTTGTTGAGAATGGTTTAATCTATGTTGAGCACAATTTTCCTGAGTTCCCATTAATAGTATTAAAAATAGTATTAAAAGCGAATCTTTAGGATAAACTGAATTACATTATTCCGTCAAATTTGATTGATCGAGCAAAATCGATTTTTAATATAACCATAGATAAAATTCAAGTGATCGATTTCTACACAGTTCTCATCAAATTTATACTGTAATATTTATGATTATAGAAGATTAACCAAACCTGAGAGTTTATCTAACAAAGTTGCGTAATAAGTACAAACTGGTTAAGACGTTTTGCAAGTTTAAGATTATATATATTCTTATAACATTTTGGTTTCCGATTCGGATTATACCTGATGAAAAGGGAATATTGAGGTTCGTACGACAAGAAGATAAAACTGTTGGCAGATGAAGGCTTTATTCATTTTGAAAATACGGTAATAACGTATTAGCCGAATGCAAATTTACACACAGGTTCTACTGGCATTTGATGACTAGTCGATACATTCCATTCATGATTCAAAATAGTGGGAATATAAAAACGTATTTTACACTGAATTAATGTGAAAGAATGTAATATGAAAAAAACCAGATTAATTTGAAACCATCTTGCGTTTTATCTCGTCCAAATAGATTTCACTACAACTAATCCAGCTACCAGCGACCCTACTAGTAAATGGTCATGGATCAGTAGAACAAACCGGTCGACTTGAATATAAGAGTATGTGTAGAAAATGAAGCTTACAATGGTAATTTGTCACGAACAACAAAAAATAATCCCCATCGTTCCAAAACGATACTGTGAATTGCCTTGTGATATAGGAGTATATGTTACCAGAGAGTTTAAAGTGAACAGTGGAATATGGAGAACGAATTTGATGACGCTTCTGTATTTACTGGACAGACTGTACCAAACTTTTACAATCCAGATGAATACCCCTTGGGGATACGTGAGCTAGTGATATTGATGTTGTTCAAAACAACAATTAAAACTTCACAATTAAAATAGATTAGGTTCAGAGAATGTACTATTTCAATCACTACATTATTGAATACGAAATCATCAATAGATGGTCATCGGTAAAATCCTCTGCAAAGACCACTTACTTGATGCTTAAACGCACCTAAATAACTTCACGTACATTTACAAGTAATCAATAAAATAAGTAAAATCTACACAGTAAAATTCAATTTATAAATGAACAAAAATTTTTTGAGTTTATTACCTATTCAATCGTCTATAAGAAATTAAAAATAATTTTTTTACCTGACACCATGAATATTTTGAATAGCAACAGCGATTTCTTTACGTAGAGTTTTTTCATCGAATTCAATCTTTAAATAAAAAGTGATACAATAATAACCATATAATTGTTAATAAACATATACGAAAAGACAAATTTTACACACAGATTTGTACGTATAAGAGGAAATGTTCATCTGTCGTCTATGAGGATTCCTATAGATTAGAAGTTTACTAGTTAATAAGGATAATTGATGGATTTAAACATGAACTCTGGTCACAGATTTTTGAATCTCCTACCAGTGCCACAGAACTTCACATTTGAGCCCAGAACGGAAGACAGAAGGTGAGAAATACGGAAGGAGCCTTAGCTTTGACGTCAGTTTACGTACAAAACAAAAGTGTATTTTTAGGTTTATGGGTAATCTTGATGTTCTGGAAAAGTGCAGAATTTAGTAAAAAAAAAGTAGATAACTATCTAATCACAATATAGCACATAATCCATCGTTATTCCGGAAATCTCTGGAAGTCTCTATTGAACCCTAATTAGATGAAGTGTTTCCAGCCTTCTCTTAGCTTCCGAAGGTTTTTAGAGGAATTTCCAAAGGCTCCCAACAATTATTTAAAATACTAAGTTGTTCACTGTTTAAAGAAACTTATCGATTCGTACAATAAGAGAGGATGATTTACACCTTGAATGAAAAAATCTCGATGTATGAATTGTTTGACGTAGATTTATTTAATCGATGATTCTGGTGATATTGTAGATAGTTGTCTCGGCACACTACATGCTTTTCTTAAATTTTAATGAAATTTTCTATACGACATACAGTAACTTATCTAGTTGACACTATATTACAGCTATTGATTACCAATTTTTGACAAATCGTCATGAATCAAATGGGAATTTCGTGTTGGAGTATTACAGAAAGATAGAAGTTTATGTTTAATCACCATATATAGACTGTCCCGTGAAACTGAAATTTATTATTTGTCATCATCGGACCACAAGGAAATTGAGAACTGTAGAATACACTAAATACTTAGTTCAAATATACCATTTAGAATTTAACTGGTGAAGAAGGACCTCTTAATAAAGTTATAACAAATGCATTGGAGGTACAGAATCTTGGATTTGAGTACCACAGTGAGAAGAAAAGTGAATCTATTAAGAAGTTTTAAAGTAAAACTAGATAACTTATGGAAAAAGTATCAATTGATGATAGATCATATACTTGAAAATAAGAATTTACATCTGAATATTAAACTAATTAGCCTCACTTCATTTCACTACATTCACATGAGATGAAGATTATGAACACTTATATGTGTGAAAAATTAAGTTTAAATTATGAAATAAAAAATATGTTTCGCAGAAACAAAGTAAACTAATTCAAAATTAACAGGTTACATTCACCACAGATTGATCTCAGTTGAGGTATCACTGAAAACTGGGGAGGAATGAACAAATATTTCATCCTATTATGGGACTCCTTAGCAGTGAGTAACCCACGACCACCTTAAGGATAGAAGCCAGAACTTCGAGGTCTTGCAGAGAATACTTAACCAGTAGAACCACTGAGTCAGTGTCCGAGTGCACGATTCCACCTTCAATCAACTGGAAATAAAGCGCTACGATCACTTAATGACACTGGTGAAAATGTTTTATGAATCTATGTTGATCCAAGTCCCCATACCGCTTCAGTACAACTACAAGGAATCAACAAGATGGCAGAGTGAAAAAATATATATAAAGTATCGGAACTCAAGATCCAGAGCAAAATAAAGAGTGAATGCATCCAGAACACTTGAAATGAATCTATATTACCTAAACCTAAACTTTTAGTCACTGATTGAGATCATCACACAGATTATTCTTGATGGCTAACAAGTGAATATCAGGAATAATAGACACATCGTACCTGTCCATCTCATAAGAAATACTTGTGGTACAAGTCAATTAAATGGATTAGCAAATTCACTCATCTGATTCAGTGGACCCCCAAGAACTATTCATGCCTGAATTCAAAATTACTTGATAATAATAAAAATGTATATTTTAACTTTTTATTAAGATATATTTTGTGAACTAATTTGACGTTAAGTTCCTTCTAGGAAAGTCACAGTAAACCACGTTTTGTACTGAATGATACTTAAAAATGGGAACTCATCAGATAACAATCTTTATTTAAAATTATGTACCCCAGTAACTAAACTGCTTTTCTTGATCAATAGACATTAAGTGATAAATTCGGCTTAAAACCAATCACTAACATATGAATGATTTATATGCACACACCAATTTACAGAATCAGTGGAACATGTGCATAGTGCACTTCAATCTATTGTATGGTATTTGAAATACATTAAATTCATCATACAATTTATCTTACCTTGAGTAAATCATATCTAAAACGTTCATGAAACACGCGATTAATCTCAGCACCTCCAGACAATATTTGTGTATTGACGTCAGCTACATGTCCACTAATATTTTGGGAAAATTCTGCTTCAAATGACTGAACCATCCTGATAAGATAAAGTAATGGAAAGTATGGAGCAGAGCTAGTGAATATTTTAAACACCTGATTATTAAATATTGCAGGATTTATATTTTCCCCTTTCACTGCAACAATTTGGAGTTAAGTCCATTATGTGGTTTGAACTTAATTGTGCCGACCTCCACTTAGTAATTCAAGTTGCAATACCACTTTAAAGTTTTCGGTAACTCATTTACCAGATACACATTTATGTACTTGATTTTGAGTTGTACTTCAAGTGTCAGGGTCGGTGATACAATCCTAATAGAAACATGAGAGTTTGAACTTGTGAATTAATAGCTGGAATTTGAACTTCATAACCATTGACCCAACACTTCACCACTTCGAAACTAAGTTCTGCATATTCATTACGGTGGTATCTCATAACAGCAAGAGAATTCGATGGGTCTGACCATTCCACCAACATTTTTCCTGAACGTTTTCATAATGATTAGTTAGACTTTAGATGTATAGTAGAGAAGACTGAGAATGTAAAACCGGCTTTTAAACAAGAAAAAATTAGTCGATTACTAACTAAAGCTGGGGTTAAAGGATGCATCCAGATAGTGGACTCATTTTTATTAGTACTGCTAATGATAGTATTGAATAAGAATCAAGTCCCAGATTATTTTTGAGTTTCAAGTTGGGGACATCAAAGAAGGAAAATATATCACTACAGAAAACAATCAACTCTCGTCAAGTATTGACTCGGTAATTTTTTGGAAGTGCCCATCGATAGTTTAGCTCGAACGATGTTAGGTAAGTGAGAAATAAACAAGAAAAGGCTTGGAAACGAGGGAAAACTTGTGGAATCTGTCTACACTCACTAAACAGTATTGGTAAGAAAATTACAGTGAACTTACTAGGAAGAACAAAAATGCATAATCCGGTAATTTATTAACATCTACTAGTCAAAGAATTTAGTCTATTGACCTTGTAAATTATATGCTTACATCAAGTTACTGAGTAATTATTGCTAACTAATCCCAGTTCAATGTAATCAAATTTTATCTAATGACCGGAAATTTAAAATGATATATGACAGTACATTTTGATCATTATGACTCAGTGGTTGGTACATAAATAAATCTTCATTTACAGTTTGGACTTTTTGTGTCGAGATAAATCATTCTTGTTCTGTTGAGCAAGTAGCAAATAAATTTATAACGCAGTCATAACAAATAGCCATACAAGCGACAATGTTAGCATTTTTAAGTTCGTTACAGACAGACTTGGTGGTTTATATAAACTATCACTTTCATTTTACTACCTAAAGTTTAATTTCTAGCGATTAGACATAGTTATTAAATTGGTTAGCTAAAGATGAGGTGTAGTGCTTTTTTCAAATTGAAATCTAGCCTACACCACGTCATAAAATAGAATGAACAGGATAGTATTTAAGTTTCCGCTAGGAGGTTGAAAAAATTGTTTAGCCTGAATAAAAATCCACTGGACAAATGTAACTAGGACAATAATTTGATCAGCAGACAAAAATAAAAAAATCTACAGAATTATAAATTCCAGTTATAAATCATTAACTTATTTTACATAAAGAAAAAGGAACTAATTACTGTAGCAATGCTTTTGTTTTATAAGCTGGGTCGTCTGGACGATAATTACGAAAGTCAGAAACTTCTTTTTCCAAACTAATTAGTTGGGCTTGTAACCGACTACGTAGATGTGGCAGAGTATCGCGGATATGATTCGTCAGTTGTTGATTAAGTATACGTTGGAGATAAGGAGTTCCCATACGATCAGCCATATGACGATAACTGGGATGTGAAAGGAAAAATCTACGTTCGGCTTCCAAGGCAGCAGTGATATTTTTGCGCCCATCTATATCTCGCTGGCTTCTGTTGACTACACCTATATAACCTACACAAGTAAAAAAAAATAGGTATGAAAGGTTAAAGAGGCGAATTACAACATAACGACGTAAAAGAACTCCTGATAACATGAGAGTAAAATGTAAAAACAAACAAGCAAACAAAATAATCACTAGACCTGAAATGATGATAATAAATATTATAAAGACATAGGATTTCTACGTAGTACTAGATGTGAACAGTAATTTGTGAAGCCTGTTTCAAAATAACTAGCTAAGACCAAGAATAATATATATGTAATCAGTATTTTGTGATTAGGCTTGAATCTTAAAAATTAGAAAGACAATCTACAACTAAATTAAGGTAAAATCGTGAGCGATCGCTTTGGAATAGGACTCTGATGACTGATGTACCAGTTCCAGTCCCACGACTTCTGACTAGTGTTGAAAAGTAATCAAAAAGATAAATGGCATTACGCGTTTCCAGAAAACAACATACAAAGAGTGGAATAAGCAGATATGGGATACATCCATGTGTTTCAGAAGGGAACAGAAATCAGATATTCATTTATTTCCATTTATTTCTAACATAAAAACTTCAGTGAATTATGGAGCTGATATTTCATATCGTGGAACGGTAATATTCCGAAAAAACAGAAGGGGGAAGAAGCCTATGATCAGTAAATTGATGAACATACTTGTTATCTTCTGACATACTACTTGATTAAAAAAACATGGAAATTTCATTACATTGAAAGATCTCATCGTGTACTTGCTTTACAGCAGAGTCGCCATTGGATTTTAATTTGAGACATGTCTAATGATGTTTAAAGCCACTAAATTGTATAACCTACGGAACCTCGGCCAAGAAGTGATGGGCCAACAAATCCTAATTCAATGCAACTATTTTATTTACCAAGACTCTACGTTATTAACTGACCAACTACAAACTGTTTTGTACAAGAATGTTAAATACTAGTCCATTACTTTTAATATCATTGGTTTACTACACGAATAATATCCAGAATCTGCCTATCAAGCTAACGGAAAAAGTCATGTGTACAGAATCAAGTGGGACGAAAAATATATTTGGAAGACCTATAATGCATTAGATAATTGTACAGATTAACTCATTAATACTACTAAATATGTATAAACCTCTTCAGATTGGTAAATTTGAACAGTTGGTGGGTTTTAGATTAAACTAAGTTTTTGGAATAACGAGCAGTGGATTATGCGATGAGACAGGTTAGGAAATATCTTACGACCTAACGTAAACGTGCATCCATTGCGCATTAACATTAGCGAGCAAAGATCAGGAATGGTGACAACAAAGAAACAAAATAATGGCTACGACAGGATTTGCGTGAACATGTAAAGTAAAATGAAATGTTTACTGATTAGTAAAAATATAGATTGGGTGTATTCATACCGGTGCAATTTATCTCCATGATCTCGACTCAAAAGAACTTTGAACCATTAGCTGAGTGTTGTGAAAACTTGATTTTATTCATTGACTAGCAGGTTCAAATACTTCTACACCTAGTCACGAGCAAAAAGTAACCTAGTATCAGTGAGACAATCTGAGATTGATGGAACGAGAGTAATTACTCTCTGAAGGCGTCTTGAACGCCGGTCACGAAACTTTGGGGAACGGTCAATATTCTAGTCCAACAAGGGGGTTGGGGAGGGTTGCCTAATCTTAATATTTGTTCGACTCATCACTAGTTCAGCACAGGGACAAGGTCATAGAAGTCAGCATCTTGATCGGCAATTTTTGTCATGTGATATTTGACGGGGATAAAACATAACAATTTTATGATGAGGATTTTGGGAAAAAAGTAATCCATAAAAAAAGTGACGACGGAGGTTTTTCGCTGATGTGATCGCTCAAAAAGAAAATGTCTATTACTATGGACGACCTTAAAACCATTCTACAAATTCAGAAAACGCACAGTAATCCTAATCAAATGAGGCTTCTAGATGCACTTACAAGTTCTCATTTCATTCCACTTCAACCTATCAACCAGATACATATGTAAGCATCGCAAATCCCATTCGTGAATCCAATTATGATCCTGAATTTGGTATCATATTTGATTCCAAGTTCCATCATTTCAAAGACATATTCCGTGTCGACTGCTGAGATCTCGATGATGCAACTATGGTTTGTCTACTTTTTAGAAGACTTGGAGCACGTGAATATAATAAATCTGTGAATTTCATCTTGCCACAAAATCAAGAGTATTTTTGCGACTTTTAAAGTCGAATTTCAAAGTGAAAGGAAGAATGTAAACTTATAAGCGAATAAAAAACCTATTTGTCTTCAGTCAGAGACGGCTTCCAACATTACATTGGTTTCCAAAAACACGTACCACAAACTAGGATGTTCACGCATTGAAGCGACCGAACATGTTCCCCGGAATGCCTCAGGAGAAGTTATATGCGAGTTACAAGTCAAAGGACATAAATTCGACGGTGTTTGTTATCTGACAAATCGGTATGATTTAGATTTATTAGGTTCAGACTAGATTTAAAAGATTGACACCTCGAATAGTTTATTTAATGAGGTATGTTTCATAATCCTTCCTCTGAACCCATTCAAAATTCTCATAATATTTTCAAATCAAATGCCTGCAATAAAATATGCTATAATAAGATTTCCAAATTTCATGCATTACGTCCTAATGATATTTCTACACCAACATCCTCTGTTTCCTCCCGAATGCCGAAATCTTATGTTAATTATTTTTGGCAAAAGCATGCAGTTGTATCCTGCAACAAAGTGGGCTGCTGTAAGTTTACCAAAGTGTTTTTGTTGTTAAAGCCAAAGCAATAAGGTTTAGGAGGAAGAAACTGAAAAATGGAGACTCAATTCAATCGTCATCATAGAGCGAAACGTGGAATATCCCAAAATAGACAGGAAGTATACTCGCCTCCCCAGTGGACCAGTGGACGTGCACTTAAGAGAAGAAGGAACGTAATGTATGTGGTGAAAGTTGAGGGTCGAGAGAGGATACATCATGCCAACCACATACTGGAAAATCACAGTACGTCACAGAAAACTGAGGAACTTGGCTGACCGTGGAAAATCTTCTAAGGCACTTTCGACATAGCTTTTTGACTGGTGATTCTTTTATTATTTATTTCAGTTCACCAGATCGATAATGTTTTACAAGGATCACAACGCTTGTCACTTTCCCTTACCTATGCACTCAGATAAATGGAAGATGATTTGAACAGAAATATACTAAAGCTATGAAAAATGACGGAAGCTATTTTTCGGGACACTATTTCACTTAATTCAAAGTTTGTACAATACTAACACTTAGTTTTACTCCTAGGTTATTCTATAAACAATAAGATTCTGTCTGATGCGTGACCCACTGCCATACTCTTTTTGATCCAAACTAGATTGAGACAAGTTCTCTCCTGTATGTTATTTGGAAGACAGATCAAGGACGTAGCACCGATACTGGACTTTTCTGTTTATGACATGTAAGAAACACCTATGAAAGTATATGGTAGTGGAGCTGATGATTTTCAAAAAATTTGTGCTCGTTGCTTACGGAGAATTGTTCACTTCCAGCAGCAACATTATGTTAGTAACGCTGAAGTTTGGAGATGTAAATTTGAACGCAATGATAATTAGTGTCACTATCTTAAAACACTGACTTCGATAGCTCGGTCGTATCTTACGCATATCATTCCAGCAGTCGACGATGAAACTGGTTGGTAAAGCCGGATGGTTAATTTACGTTACGGGGAGTGTTATATAAAAATAGGGGCATATGAGCAGTATGTCAGTTAATTACGAATCCTCGATTGGAATCCTAAAGATCGTGCAACTCAGATTAGACTCAGAACGAAAACTAGTACCAGATCATATTCTTCATAAAAATGAGGACTGTAGAACTGGTATGAGTTAACACCTGAACTAGTGGTAAGAAGTAGAGTACTTTGATCCTCTGACCTTGGGATTCTCAGTAGCCCCAGTGGATTGGTATCCAACGAAATTTCGGCACAGATCTAGGAACCCCAGATGACTTCTGTTGACTTGCGTCACTTGTGGAGTAGGCGAGAGGTACGTTTTCCAACGAAAGGGTGTGTATACTGCGCAGCAGTCTTTTATGCTTTACACTATGGTTGTGAAAAATGGTCTATGAAAGTGGAAGACAAGTGTGGGCTTAAAGTTTTTGGCCATAATCGTCCTTAAAGAATTTCTTGAGTTTTGTGAAGTGTTAAGCAAAGTAATACACGAAGTTAGAGAACAGCTTGATGAGGTAGTGAATCGTCATCGACTGAAGTGTTTAGGATGTTTAATACATATCCCTGACCACAACTCAACTCGACAAGCGATGCGTATTAGTGGAGAAGGCTGGAAGATAGAGATCAAACCAAAACGCGGCAATAATGCATGAATTCATTGACAGATGTAGACCACCTGACCAAGGTCTGGGTGATAACTGTAATCAGTAGTTGGACATTGAGTGACACGGCTTAGAATATATCAAACAAGCTTATCCACTTAAACTGAAGGCTTGAATTTCCATAACTGTAAAAAGATTTGATTAATGTAGAGAACAAAACGTTTGATACACTAGTTAATTTATGCATTTTCTGAAGACTAACTGAGGTGAATGAAGGTCTTGGAATGTTGTAATGAGACAATATAATTTCTGATGAATTACGAATTACTATAAAGTACTATGTCGATATCAGCAGTAAAAATCTCCTATTCTACTGATTAATCATTATTAGATATCAGTCTTACTTCTATAGTCAAAATTTGGGGAGTAAGATTACGTCCGCAAAACCCAAAACATTTGACTTCGCCTCAAAAGTATATTTTACCTAAAGGTATAATATTAAGTTTGGATTGTAATGTATGGCCTTGTCAACTAGAACTCTAAATCCGAAGACCAGAAAAACGTATATAACCTCGAGTTTGAACTCTGATACTTTAAGGCAACAAATATACTAAAATAAACACCAAACAATTGGATTACCTCTTCGTAATGGGAGCAATCTATTTTCGAGAATTTCCTGTGCATCTGTTCCTTCATCCATCAAATCTAACTTTGTTATTACCCCGATAGTACGCAGACCCTGTGGGTCATATTCCTTAGCAAGTTTCAAGGCATCGGAATTAGCGAGGTCTGAATTAGCAGGGCTAACAGCCAAAATAAGACAGGAATCTCTCTCGATAAATTCAATGATCATGTTGCGGATTTGAGTTTCGATATCCGGTGGCTGATCGCCAACAGGAACCTTGGTCATTCCAGGAAGGTCAATAAGGGTAAGATTGAGGACTACAAAGAATGTAGGAGTAAGATCAAAATGATTACAACACACCGCTGGGGGAATGGATCCTGAGGTTGATTGGAATGTTTGAGATACCCTTATTAGAGCCAGTGATTCTGTCCGTTTCCTGTTCGATTTCCCGTCGGATGTCATCAAAATCCGTGAACTTTTTATTTTTACAGTGAATAAATTCCCCATATTCAACTGTTTAAAAGCAGTGGAATGAGTTAAATAAAACTCCTACCTGACTTATCATGGACCAGTTGCAGAATAAGCGGTCTCCTTGTGACTATACCACTGCCTCTCGGTAGGAAATCACTTTAAAGGAAGTGTAATTTTATTTGTAGCCTACCGCCCCACGAAGTTTTCCAGCACTGAGCTTTTACCAGCACTTTGGCTTCCCACAACTGCAATCTGAGGTAAATCAAGGTTCAGAGGAAGGTTAAGAGATGCGAAAGCATCCTGAAGCTTATTAACAAGAGGTATAAGCCTTTCCATCCCTTCATTCCCATACATTTTGCAGTAACTATAATCACAGAAGATTCGTACAACCCACCGATGAATAGCCTTGAGAGGTCTCTGGGTCAAGCTGATTATCACAACTTCAAACAATCAAATCCAGATTTGTGTAGTAAGGACAGAAGGCCTACGGCCTATGTTATTCCTTTTGTGGTGTGCTTCTATGAGTGTTTAGTCTTCTCTTGAAAGAGTCAATTGAAGGTGCGGACACCAGTGCTCCGGGCAGCAGGTCCCAAGTATTGATGACTCGGTGTGAAAACCTGTATGCCACCGTTATTTTGTTCGTTCTTGGCTTTTCTACTCGCCTGCTATGTCCTCTGAGATGTCCCGATCTAGTAGGAAGAAAAAGAGAGAATAAGTTAGGTCCAAAATCATTTCTCAGTATTCTGCACATCAAAATTAGATCTCCCCTTAACCTGCAATAGGACAGAGTAAAGAGGTCCAGCTTTTCAAGCCGCCCTTTGTACGGTAAACCCCGGAGTTCTGGGATTTCACGGGTAGTTGCTTTCTGTAATTCTTCTAGGATATCCGAGTCACCTTTTAAACAAGGGCCTGCAGCCTGAACGCAGTTCTCAAGCTTAGTTCTCACTAAGGATGTGTATACTGTGGTGAACATTGTAGTATCTAGCTTAGTAAATGTCCGTTTTAAAGCCCAAAGGGTTCAAAACCCCTCAGCTGCGACCTCCCGTCAATGGGCCGTCGTCTTATGATCATGACTCACTGTCACCCCTAGATCCTTATGACACCGGACCACGGGTAATGGCACTTCCCCTATGTTGTACCTATTAACCTTTGAATCCACAAAGTGCATGTAGACATACTTTTCCGAGTTGATGGGCATCAGCCACTCTTTAGACCAGTTAATCATATTAATTAAGTCTGCCTGAAGAGCACATGCGTCTTTGTCTTCAGTTATTACTCGCCAGATTTTTACATCGTCAGCGTATAATAACATTGGAGACTGTACTATACTTGTAAGATCATTAACGTACATTATAAAAAGTAAAGGACCTAAGACGGAACCTTGGGGTACTCCACTAAGTACTGGTCTCCAGATGGAGCACTTGGAATTTGTTCTTACTTTTTGCCTACGATCTACTAGGAAATCCTTAATCCATTTTAAAAGAGGTCCGGCAATACCAAGGTTTTTCAACTTCAATAGCAGTCTATTAGGTGACACCTTGTCAAAAGCCTTACTGAAATCTATGTAGAAAACACCCACTGAGTTTCCGTTGCCCAGTGCATTTATCCAGAACTCCCTTGCTATAAGGAGGTTCGTTGTACAGGATAGACCCTTTCTAAAACCATGTTTTTCCATGTTTAGCAAGTTATTGGTTTCCATAGATGCCATTATGGTCCGTTTGACTATTCTTTCCATTATTTTAACCACAACACTGGTGAGGCTTACAGGTCTGTAATTCGATGGAATTTGTCGTGGACCTGTTTTGTGTATGCGATAGACGATCGCGTCCTTCCAGTCCATAGGCAATACTCCTTGACCGAGTGACATGTTGAATATCACATTCAGTAGGGCCGCGATATATTGTGCAATATGTCTCAATATGTTGGGGTGTATTTCATCTGGTCCCGTTGACTTTTCCATATTTAAAGTGCTAAGAGCCTTAAGTACATCGTCTTGATCGAATTCCACAGTTAGCAGGTGGTTTGTTGACTGTTTATTTTGATCTGGTTCTTCCTCTAGAGGAGGTTCCTGAGTGAAAACTGTCCTAAAATAGTCAGCCATAACCTCTCCTTTTCCTGATCTTCCTCTATCATTCCAGATTCTCTTCCTTCTTTAATTAGGTTTGGAATCCAATCATGCATTCTTGTTCTGTAGTTTATGTACGAGAATATTCTCTTGGGCTGCTTGAGTGCAGATTGTGCCAGCTGCATTTCATATTTTCTCTGAGCTTCCCGAATTTTTGTTATACACTCGTTTCTTATCGATCTGTAGCGTTTCATAGTACCTGCTGTGCCAAGGCGGATGGCAACATCCCAGCATTTCTTCTTTTGTCTTAGTAAACATCAAATATCTCGGCCTATCCAGAAATGGCCGTGCTTCTTCCTGTTTGGAACTGTCCAGGGGATGTATGGTTGAGTTACCCGATTGTATTACTGCTTGAAAAGAGTCAATGCCTTTTGTACTGATGCCCTTGAGTTCATTTTCTCAGTTTTCAGCCTATGCTGCACAGTTGATTGCCTTCATGTCTGCCTTCCATATGTTAGGAAGGGCCGGCGCAACTGTTCGACAGGCGATCTCAGCAATGAATTTGAATAAGATGACTACATGACCGCTTCTCCCTAGTGGTGGGAGTAAAGTCATTTGACCAACGTCATCACCGTGTGAAGACTAAATCTAAAAGGGAAGAAGAGCTTCTTAAGTCATATCTTGTGAGGTTTCTATTGTGTTGGAATAAAGCTAATGCAGTCGAGGTTTCTAACAACTTGCAATCGAACGACGTTATCGATGACCTTATTCTAAGTTACCCAATTTATATGCGGTGCATTTAAGTCACCTACTACAAGGCTTTTACCCTTGTTACGCCAGGACTTGAGTTTATTTAGAAGAAAATCATCTGCTACACATTCTGGACTGCGATGTACCACAACTAATTCAATATCTTGCCGTCTACATTTCAGCTTACATCGCACCGGTTCACATGTCCCTGACACATGTGCTACCGTCGCAGCTAATCTTATGGTTAGGGTACTTTTCGTGTACAGAATAACCCCGCCTCCCCTTCGGTTTATTCTATCAGCCCTACTGGTTATGAAACCAGTCAACTGGATTTCACTATCTAATATTTCTGACGTTAACCAAGTTTCCGAGACAGCGATAACGTCCGGTTTTTCTCTGTCCACCACTGACTTCAGCTCCGCCATTTTATTTAGTAGGCTGCGAGCATCTTTGTAGCATACCTTTAGGTCTGTGGAGAACTTTCCCTTAGTACACAGAGTGGTTTGGGATCGTTCTTTTCTAAACTTTTACAATTTGAAAACCCTTAAGAACGAGGTTTCTTTCACCGTTTTGGAGACGCTCATTTATTTCCGCTTCTGCAGCTCGCCTCTTAATGCGATCAGCTAGGCTGAGATCCTCACGGACGTATATTCCGGATCTAATCAGCTTACGTGAATAACCTAGAATCAGGTTCCTTTCTTCAACCGTGATGAATGTAACCTTCAAGAGGCAGTCTTTCTGAGGACTTTCAGAATCCACCTTTTTTCCTATTCTATAAAGCTTACAAATACTAACTCCTGAAACTGTATCTGGGAATTGTTTACTTATTAAGGACGTAATATGATTGAAATCGTGTTCAAATCTAGCCTTTGATTCTTTATCGGAAGATTCTTTTAACTTATGGAAAATGACTGATCTCGCAGAGAGATCTGTCTTGTCACGCAGTGGAGTTTTTGCTTCTGATACCGTCTCTTCCAATGACTTGCTGACCAGCTGTGTTTTACCAACAGCTTTCTTCTTCTCATTAACCTCTCTCCGTACTGAAGTCCACTTATCACCACTCAGGACAGCCACACTGGGACTATTTGGAACGGTGACAGTCTTATCCGGGTCTTCAATTTCGACTAGAGGTGTATGATTGACGATGTCAGTATCTAGCGGCACTTCACTCTTCGTTAATATTAACGGAGATTTCACTTTCCCGTCAGTCACAGTCGGGTGTTTGGCGGGTCCGGTAGCAGCACCGTCAGTGCTCGTGTTATCAGCGCTACCGCCATCGTTTTTCTTACAGGCCAAAGCCAATAGGCTCATAGCCTCCTGAATAAGTAACTTTTTATTTGTACAGCAGAACATACAAAGCCAATGTGAGTTAGGCTTCGAATATCTTTTGCATGCCATAGGACTTAGGCGTGTACACATCTTATGGCACCACTTATTACAATCATCGCACAGCGTCCATTCCTCAACAAGGAACAAGCAGTTTGGTTGCCCACATTTATGAGTCTTACCAACCATTTTAATTTTGATTAAAAAGGTTTAAAACACAAAATGATCACAATGTGAACGCCAATGTCAGTCAAGGAGTAAAAAAAAGTACCACTGAACAAAGTTGAGCAAAAATTGTATTCTGGATCGATTGTTAATGTACAGTTACAGCAATTGTTCATACTTAAATGTCTCGCGCAATGTGTGTGTAGTAGACGACAATCTAAGAGAAGAAAACCAATTTTTACAGCCATCATAAATGGACACAAAACGAATTTTTTGAAATTGTTGACCGCTAATTTCCTTTTAACAATGTTCTCAATATTGTTTCCAATGTGGACTCAGATTTATCAATTACTGTTATGTTTGACGACCCATATTGACAGTCGTTTAATAATAGGTGGTCATTTTGCGAATTTGATTTTCATGGCATGTATGGGTCAAGACGTCTGCCAAAATTATCACTGCTATGGTGAACGAGATTGAATAGTAATGTATTTTGTAAATTTCTTACAGGACTGTCGAAGAATACGTCTTGTGTTGAACCCATCGTAACCAAGTGATGATTTTTGTTCATCGAGTAGCCTAATAGGTTAAAATAACCAGTGTTTTAAAGATCATTCAAATTATCTGACTAAAGATTGACCTCACTTTTTTATTTTTAATCGTATTGGAACTAAACAGAAAATTGAGTTTGGAAGAAGGTTCTATATGGGCGTAATATCGAATTTATTGCTTGATAAATGCTTGAAGGCGTAGATGTTCGAACATCTTATGTAGTTTGTGAACATGAATTTGTAATATCGCCATTTATGTCTACTCATATTCCATAGTGTTACTTTTACCGCTAGGTGAAATGCTCCACGAAACTTCCTCATATGTTGTGTTATAATTAATCCCCTCAATACGATCACCTAATTGATACTGAGCTACAAATAATAAACTTTTTTGGTCTGGTGCATCAGTACGTTATGGAGCGTTCAACAATATATTGTAAGGAAAACTAATAAAGGTGCCATAGGTATTTGGAGTTTGACTACACCTTACGCAGTAACACCTTCTATAATCAAAGCGTGCCTACACA